AAACTCAACAGTTTCCACAACAAGGAGCACTCAGTGACAGTGGACAGAAAAATCTCCCTTAAAAAACAAATGCACTTATAACATGTCATCAATGAAATAGAAAAATAAAAGTGGATGTGGAATGTCGCAATTTCCATAGAAATTTAAAAATTGATATTAATTGTTTAAGTAAACGAGGCAGTGTGTCTGATGAAACTCTTGATTAAAAAGGACCAAAACTCTGGAAACATTCAGCTGAACTGGATGAGTTGCGATTTGCAATTTGCATTTGGATGAAGTTATAGGCTGAAACCTTTAAGAGGGAGAATTTGTGAAGGAGCCTCGTTGCAGCTGCAGAGCGGGAGCCAGTAAACAATGCTCACTTGGCATTTTCCTGTTCTGCAGAAAGAAAAGCCTGCTTTGGCATTTGAATATGCTGGTGAGTTTTCAAAAACACCTTCAGGCAATTTGAGAGGATTCAGGGCATGAAAAGTAAACAAATGGAACTGAACATATTTCCTACACCGTTTAATGTGGAACTCATGTGCCTGTCAGGAAATCACTGAGCTGTTAAGCAACAACAACCTCAAAGCTTGGTTCAACAACCTCTCTTCACTTGAGGTCTATCAGCTGCATGCATGTAATTTGGGAATTTCTATTCCGACGAGAGAGTCACTGAAGTTTGAAACAACTGTGAGCGTTTCTTTTCCAAATGAAGAAGAAGAGTATCCACTTCTAGCTATTTTTGGTCTTCACCAATCTTGAGAACTTCTGTCTCTGTTACATACAACTCCATGTTTTCTGTGTGAGCAGCTTACCTGTTGCTGCCAGGGGAACCAATCCAACAACAACGAAAAAAACAGTAAACGGAAGCAAAAGAGTAAAGAAACTGTAAAATCCAATAACCAAAAAAAGCAAACAAATTCTTTCCGCTATGTTAATAGAGGTGATGTTAATGCTTCATGGATTTCTCACAATACACTCATTTCTGATAGAACAGAAATAGTCATTTGATCCATCAATAACTTACAAATATATATTTATGCAGCTTGAAGTAATTTGAAACGTAATAAATAATATGAATCCATACAAATATGAACTACACAACAAACAAACACAACAAATGCATTACATTAGATATAGTTCTCTACACACACTGGACCTTTAATCTACATCCTTCTCTTTTCGATGCTGAAGTGGGACTTTAGCTGTTTTAATGGTGTTTGACAGGTTGTGGCTTGTGTGAAGAACATCCATGTGCTGCAGGAGTAGGCGTAAATGTGTGGTTGCTGGACCCGAAAAAAAAAGAAAAAAGAATCTGCCTCCTGCATCTCTTCCTCCTTCTCCCTCTCATGTCTCAGTCAGTGGAAAAAGATGTATAGGCAGCTGTTGCTCCCGGTACTTCAATGAATCAACCTTAATGGAGAAGAGCTGACAGAGGGACCGGGAAAATGAAAGCAAGTACTGGAAGTAGGAGGAGGAGGAGGAGGAGGTGGTAGAGAAAGCCTGGGGGAGAGAACAACGGGGAGAGACAGAGAGTGAGTGCTAGTGCAGAGGAATGAAAGGGAATAGGGGATAATGTGAGGGGGTGGCATGACAAGGAGACAGGGAGATATCATGGGACTACATGCACAGCCAACCCAGGAGGATGTACATGTTGGTTCCTCATTTACATTCATTGGCAATGTCTGTCTCTCCCACTCGCTCCTACTGCTTCTCCCCCCCCCCCCCCCCCCCCCGCCTCCAACACAAAGCACAGACAGAATAGAAAGTACAGTGATCTCTTAGCAGTGCTTATAGGTACAATGACAACATTCATCTTAAACACTGTCTGTTGATACTCCAGGTATATTTACAGTCCACAGTCTGGACACCCCCCCCCCCATGGAATCAGTGGATGATCGATGACTCTGTGATGTAACACTGAGGTATTAACAGCTTCTGTCCAGCAGATGCCACCAGAGCAACAGTCTTCTCACAAATCTACGCAGTATATTACTTCACTGATAAATCCTCCTCCTACAGGAAGTCTTTAACTTTGCTTGTTAACCTTTAAAAGACAGGCCCATCTTTATCTTTAATCAATTCATTAAGTATTATATGAATTGTTGCTGCTATCATTAATAATCAATAACTCTTTACACTGTTATTGTTTTAAAGGTCCAGTGTGTAAGATTTAGGTGAAAGGGAACTATTGGCAGAAATTTAATGTAGAATAATCCTCATGATGTTTTCACTAGTTCATGTCATCTAAATTGTATGAGTTGTAGTTTTCTTTACCCCAGAAAAGGTCCTTTATATTTAAATACTTTATATTTACATCGAGGGGACTCTCTCTACGGAGGCCGCCATGTTTTTTACATTAGTCCAGACTGGACAAACTAAACACCTTTAGAGTTTTTATGACAACTGAAGCTAGCACAGGTTCTTTTTCATGTTTGGAAGGAGAGGGTGAGGTGAGGGGTGTTCAGCTGCAACATGCAACTTCAACACTAGATATCACTAAATTCTACACACTGTACCTTTAATTTTAACAGAGCTGATACCTGATGGTGCTCAAATGTTCCCGGTCTCTCTCTTTATATTCAGAACTGTTTGACACAAAACCACATCATCTGCGGGAAGTGTGAATTCTCATGAGAATGAACAGCTCAATAACAACCACAAACAAAAGGAAGAAACTGCTTTCATGGTAACAAGATCCACTACAAGACATCTTAAAAATATCTTAAATCATAGGTTTGTTTTTAAATACAAAAGGGTCACGCCATGCAACATCTCAAATACATGTAATTCTGGATCTTTTTATAGAGCATTTAGTCAAAAACAAGTCAGCTTCTTCACCTCTAGGTGGCAGTGACGTCAAGACAATGTGGCAATATCAAGGTGCAGGTCTTTAAAATGGTCAACCAACCGGAGGGTTGTATTCAACAGTCCTTTAAATCAAACTTTAGAACTCCACATCTATCTATCTATCTATCTATCTATCTATCCATCTATCTATCTGTCTATCACCATGGCAGCAATCAACGCTGCTCTGAAGGAACTGATGGTCAAAAGAAGAGGATGCTGGATGAGACAGACTCTTTAGTTACAGCGAGAAAGGAGAAATGACTTGACCTGCAGGTGAAGACTGCGAGAGTCTGAGCTCAAAGAGATGAAGAAGAGGTTGAGAGCAAAGGAAAGAAAGGTCAAATCCTTGAATGCTCATCTCTAACCCTAACCCTAACCCCACATCATCCTTGAAAAGGATAAGAGTAAACCAATAAAAGCCAGTATCACAACAGAAAATATGTCACTTGTGGATAGAAATCTGGAGCTCATGGCCTAGCTGATGGCCGTCCACACAGAGAACCTCCAGAGCGAGACTGACATCAGTCAATGCTACATGGAGGAGAGTGTGAACGGGCAGAGGAGGAGGCATGCTTTGAGAAACTGAAGGCGCAGGAGACACCAAACACAAGATGTTTGAATACGTTATCTGACACTGGGAAATTCCCTTTTCTTCACTATTTTATTTTGGAGTCATTAGATTCTTTTTACATTATTTTATGGACAAAACACAAAACTCTGTTGATAATTTGGAAAATGATCGACAGATTAATTAGTGGCAGCCCTAATATCCACGATGTGGATATTTTGAGGGGTGTCCAAGATCATACTTGTTATATATAAATTGCATAGTAACTTCAGAAAAACAACAAAATTAAAATAAGCAGTGATTTATATTGTTTTTAAAGTGATTAAAGTATATATGATAAGTCATGTTGGATGACACAAGTATAATTGCATTTTGTTCTGTTAATGTTTTTATACAGTTTGTGGTTTGAGTTTGAAATGAAAAATTTTCCTTGTAGTATTTGAAATTCCAATTTGTAGAGCGGAACCAAACAGTTACACATTTTAATAACTATGAAGCTTGGTGGAGGGATGCAGCATGAGTCAGGGAAGAACTCATCAAATTTTGATGCGGATACAGATCATGGCGCTGATCCAGGATGTTTTTTATTCCCAGGGAAAAATGAATTGCTCTTGATGAGGGAAAAAATAAATATTCACCCACAGGATTGCAATGCCATTAAAAGGAATTATTCTCTAGTCTATATCCCACCTATAGCCTGTTTTAACAGTGACAAGTGAGCGGGCCTCCTCGAATCATCTGCATCTCTCTGACAGAGGGGAGACACGAGCAGGAGGGAGGGAGGGAGGGAGGGAGAGACGTATGTGGATGGATGGATGGATGGGTGACTGGCGCGCGTGCGTAAGCTGCGTGTTTATGCGCGCGTTGTCGGGTGGAGGCGAGGAGATGAGGAGGCAGCAGCGCACGCGAGGAGAGAAGCGCCTTCCCTGATTGGCTGTAGGGCTCTGGTACCCAGCTACGTCAAGGTGGACATGTTTACGTCGAATATGACAAGGGAAACCTTCAAAATAAAAGAGTATTTTCACACGGAATTGCGTAATTTGATCAGACTTGTCTTGATTATTATTATAAATAATGATAATAATAATCAACTGCCATTTAAATAAAATTCGGATCGAATTGCAAGTGAAAACACTCTTCTATTTTGAATGTTATTTTTATTAAAAAGAATAAATATGTTTTTCATTACAAAGTGCCTCATGGCGGGGACCAATAAAAACAATACAAAACATCAGACAAGAAGCAGTGCCATTTAAAATCAAATACTTCAAATTATAAAGTACAAAATCCCAAAAAATAAAATAAAGTAATTTGCAAAATCTAAAAACAATAGGAACCATTCGTAACAGGTGCGTTTTGAGGGAATGTTTTATTTATACTAATCACAGATTAGTTCAAATTTTAAATAAAACATCCAGAATATCCCACAATAAAACGTGATCGCCAAAATGTTTGAACGTGGTTTTAACTGTGACCGGAAATGCTCCGTAGTATTGTATCTACCTTGACTGAGGTCCAGAGGAAGAGGAGAGGATGTGACTCTCTCTCTCTCTCTCATGTCTCATCCCTCTCTCCCTCCCTCTCTGGCTGCTGTTGTTTGTCTCCCTCCTTCCTCGCTTCAACCAACGGGGGGAAAAAAAATGGAGCTCTGCGGAAATTAGCCACCTCTCCCCTGTCCTCACCGCCACCGTGTTTGGAGGATGATCCACCGGCAGCTCGTTTTGTCCCAGGTAGGTCTCCTCCGCGGCCTCCATTGTTGCTGGGTGAACGCTGCGGGCGATGCGATGGAGCCTCGCCGTCATGTCAGCCCCCAAGCAGCGGCCCAGCAGCTCTTCCTCGTCGGGGGGTGGCGGGGGGGACACGCTGCGCTGAATCCTGCTCTGGACGTCGAGTGTTCGAGCGGAATTCACGCAAACAGGAACCGGGGGGAGGACGTCAGGTTGTTTCTGTTTCTTGCCTCTGACTGGACCACACGGGCTTCACTGTCCTCCGCCAGCTCTCCACGAAACCGCCTTTCAGAGGCATCCTAAATTCTGTACACATCATCCCTCAAAGTTGATATTTCCTCAAATAAAAAAAAAGATTGCATTCGTCATTACGAGCGATTAGATCTTTGCCGAATTAAAGAGGGACCACGATCGAGAGAGGACATTCAGTCATCTGCCATGGAAAGAAAACTATATTCCCCAGTGAGCAACGCAACATGAAATTCATTAATTTTCTAAATGGTGTTTGGCGCTGGAGATGCCAGGGCCCCACAGCCTTGTCCTAGTTTCTCCTGAATCAGGGTCTACTACGACTGGGAGGCTTCCCCTTCCCCTCTTTGTGTGGGGGATTCCCATTCCCCCTGAAATCCTCTTAAATCCTGGAGCATCCCACCACACATGGGGGCTTTCAGTTTTGTGGTCTTTTGTTTTGTTGACAGCTTAGTGTTGAAAATCTGAATGGTGCTGTTATAATGATAATTATAATAATAATATTTCATGGGTGCCTTTCAAGACGCTCAAGGACACCACAGATATAATAATCAAAACACTGCAGAATATCAGGACTACAATAAAACAACAAACAATGATAAGCCAATAGAATCAGTATGAAATAAGAAAAACCAGATTTCAGTTGACTTCTGTTATTATGAGGATGTAAGAAAAATAATAAAATGTATTTTCAAAAGAGCAACAGCAACAACTTTTTACAACAACCACTACCAATATCTATTTCTACCACTAACGTATTCTTTACTAACACGCTCACATCTCCTCTCACAGTGTGTGATGGTAGAGTTGGTGTGAGGTTGGTCTTGTCTTTAAAGCCACGTGAGTGCATGACACCCCGGAGTGTAGTGGTGAACCCAGGAAGTCTCGAGCTGTGTCTCAATTCAGGGGCCGCATCCTTAGGAAGGACACGGTCTGGTCTTCTGATTGCAGCACCAGCTTGTCCCGCCCTTAAGACCGTCGCCTAGCAACAGATACGGACGAGAAAGTTCTTTGGTTGATGAAAGATGCTGAAAAGATTTTCTTAACATGTGCACCGTTAGCTTGAGTTGAAGCCCATACGTAAATCTTCTCCTCACTTGCTGCTGCCAACAGTTGGTCTCTGAAGTGCAATGAATCCTGGGATAGGTTTTGCAAGGAAAGATCTACATGGTGGAGTCTCCGTTGCTCGGGGGTGGAAGGACACATTTGTCACATTTAAAGGAGCCTTGGAATAGGGACAGACTTGTTGGACCCGTCCCCTTGTAGATACAGTGCTGACTGAGCACTGTGATGTTTTGTCACACTGGCTCTCATCTGACACAGAACCAGCTGACTGCACCGCCTGGTGTGACGATTCTTAAAATTCATCATAGTGACGTTCACCACAACGCCCTGTCCACACTAATGTGGATATTTTGCCAAACAAACTTTTTCCTCTGTGTTTGGGCCTCTCGCCCACATGCACGCTGTGTAAGTCTCTTATTTTACAAACACTTCCAAAGTGCACTTTTTCAAAAGCTGGTTTCTGTGTATCTGTGTTTACGTGCAAAACGGACTGTTTGGGAAACAATGATGTCACAGCTTACTCAACATGTGTCTAATGTTGCTTTGTGTAAAGAGCTTGCACCAGAAACAACAACAACATTTGTAGCTATATAGCGTTTTCTCATTGTTTGGTTAGCACTGCTAGATCGAAATACAAGTTTGCAGCTGAAATTGCTGTAAAACTGTCACTTTTGAAGGACTGTGAGATTTTTAGAGACAAAAGACTTCCACAAATTATTATTTTCATCACTCATGACTGTGCATTAATATTACAGTTAGTACTTTAGTCAGTCAAATGTAAAAAAAAAAAAATCACACTCTCATTGAGTTGAAGGAGACTATAAATTGCAGTCCTAAACCAAAAGATATTTTACTTATATGGATTAAACAGAAATATTTTGCAAATATTTATTACTGGAAATAACTCCACCATTTCCATTGTCATTGCTGCTCCCTTCATTTCTATCAAACATTTTCTTCTGAATACATACTTTGACACATCTCTATGGTAAAAACTGTTTCTTCTAATCAGTGTTGTAAATATTGTTATTTTGTTGATGTGTTCAGTTACACACAGCATCTATTGCACTTCTGTCCATCCACGGAGAGGGACCCCTCACATGTGTCTCTCTCTGAGGTTTCTATGTTTTTCCCTCTGTTACTAAAGTATTTTCGGTAGTTTTTCCTCACTCTTGTTGAGGATTAAGGACAGAGGATGTCACACCACATGAAGCCCTATGAGACAAGTTGTAGATTGTAAATATGTGCTATACAAATAAAAGCAGCCATTGGAAACATAGTGAATAGGCTGTTTGCCTGTGGTGATGCAGGTTGCAACTTTCTTTATGACACTAAAAGTGACCTGCAATAGAACAGACAGAAAGGCAGACAGAGGTTTATGCCAACGGTATAAGTTAGTATGGCATTGATTTTCAATAGCTGTCCCTACAGTTTATATGATTGTGCTCATTACTCATCACAGGAAGAGAAAGCCCTGGTTCCTGTAGGTTATATGAGGACATGGACATGTTCAACTCAGTCCACAGGCTGCCTGTTAGCACACTGCCCCACCCCCAGTGACAGCTACAGATCCAGGGTATGTGTATGCTAATTGTATTATTATTGAGATATGGCGTGTCCAAATTGCACCACATTTGACACTGGGCTTTCTTGTTCTCAACATGTGTGTTCCACACACAGACAGGTTTCTGTCATATCACAATGCTTAAAAAGATTCCCTGTGATTTTATACTATATACTATGTTGTGAGATTAGTATTACTGATGCATTGATCTATAAGCAGGATGTAATTGTTGTTGATGGATGAGCTTGAGTTCATTTTAACTATTTTGTATCAGACTGCAAATAATGATTATCCTCACTTTTTAGATGAATCAGCTGATAATTTTCTCTATTAGTTGATTGACGGTTTGTTAAAGTTCACATGATAGTGAAGGTGTCATCAGTCAGTTCTCAAAACGATGATCAAAGATATCCAGTTCACATTCTCTGTAGGTGTGCTGATTCTGTGTGGGTTTCCTTATGGGCTCAGAAAGCCCATGGATCTGGTGTTCTCGAATGTGGCTTAACATGTTTGATGCACTTCCCCCTCCTTGACCTTTCGCGTCCACTACCCCTAAAGGCTGACCCAAAAATATGATCCCATTTGACTGGTTATTGGTCTGAATTTTACCCTCAGAGATCACACACACACACACACACACACACACACACACACACACACAGTGCAAACAGGGCAAACATCAGCGTAATATTTAGGCCCTGGCGGAGTGAGGAGCGGATCCAAGTAGGACATGAGTCATCTGAACCTTTCCTCTTCCACATTTGACAGTGGTTGGTGATCAGAAAATGTGAATTCCATGTTTTGGGCTGATATTTCTCTTGGTTTCTGTCCTTGCTGCAGGGTTGTTGTTGTTTCAATGTTTCAGTGAACAGTGATTGAGTTGCTCTCTCTCTCTCTCTCTCTTGCTCTCTGTAGCCTTGCAATTTGCAAATAGATTTTTTTTTTACCTAGTAGAACTGCAAGAAAGGTGTAGCCAAAGTAGCCATTTTAGTTTTTTTCACTATTGAGAATGAATATTAGCTGATAACAATTGGTGGCTGATTGACTGGAGCATTCTTACGATAGATAGATAGATGGATAGATAGATAGATAGATAGATAAAACTGTCCCTTTAAACAACCCCCTTCCACACCCTCCTCAATCAATTAAATCAGTTAGAAAGCAACACTTTATGTCTTGCAAATTTTTGGCAAAGCACGTGATATATAGGACACAATAACAGTGAGGAAGTCAACCTAACTCCTGTTCTTACAGCTGACTGACGAAGGTCAGAACAGGCCTGGCAGTTGTAGCAGCAGCAGATGCTGTGACAGTGTTGAGGAACTTTAAAATCCTTAGTGTCTTCTCTTGTTCTTGGAGTTATAATGGTCAAATCTAGATAAACAGACATCATACACATAATTAAGGCCTTACACTTTCTTGAGATATCATCGTATGCGTGTGTCCACCACAAAAATAAACCATCTTGGATCTGCTTAAAAATAATATAAAGAAGATTGGGTCATGTTTCAACTTATGGTCAGTCACTGAATCTAAAGTAACTTTACAGTACTTGTGTATATTCCACAAAACTGAACTATTATTCCACAAGTAATAATAGGACCGACAAGATGTATTATTAATTTGAAGGAAGGTGGTGTCAGTGTTCTCTCTCAACTCTGAAACCCACTTAATCATATAATGTAGCTGCTGTAGAATATGTTTCCATGACATTTAGGATGTTGTAGATACTGTATAGAATTAGTAATGATTCATAATAGGGTAGTAGATTTATATATATAAGAACAAGCAGGCTTATTAAAAATGTTTGGCAAATTGTCTGGTTAAAGTAGCTAGAGTGGAAACTGGAAGCAGTGTTGTAAAGAAACCCCTGTCCCAGACAATGCATGCAACATGCTGTCCTGTGCAGCCCCTAAATGGCAGCCATTAAATTCACAGAGAGACATTTAAATAGTCACAACAGGGTCAGGAAAAAGTTAAATCCAATTGAGATTTCTCCCGCTGTTCCTGATGTCTGACTATAAAGGGTCGTTTTACCTCTGTGGCACACATACCTAATGAACCGCCATTTAGAGTAGGGATCAATGAAACCCATCCAACTTAACGTTTGTTAAATCTACCCCTCTTTTTCTTTCAGCCTTCTCACCTCAGCAGGGTGTCACCACCTTTATCCGTCGTTTCAAATTAAAAGCCCTCTTTGTTGGGCAGCTGCTGCAAAATGTATATAAAGGGAAACCCTGGATCATTAATAATAAGCTGAAGGAAGACTACAATTAGATCGGTTACGGAGGTCATTCCAGAACCATAGTTCTGGATCATCTCAGGTCCAGCAGAGGCTTTTTAGGTTCTTCTACATCTGCTCTACATGTGCACTGAATTCATAATCACGCCGTCTTGAATGCAATTATATCGGTTAATTACACAAGTGTCTGAGTAAGTGGGAAGAACAACTGGGGACATTTCCCTCGAGATGCCACAGCCAGCTACGACATCGCAGTAATATCCTGCGATATGACTAATGAGGACTGTGGGGATTTGAGCGTAACTTTGAAATGTGTTTGTATAGTTTTCATATGTGCCCGACCCTGCTTATTTGCATATGTGTGTCACCGTGCACACCCTTGTGGCCTTGAGCTTGTATGTATTCCCACCTCTTTTGGTAGTCGTAGCTACAGTAGTCACAGCCACCGCTGGAGACTGTTACAAGATTACTACAAAAGTCCTCATAGACACAATATAAGAATGGACTCACTCTATTGACTAACAAGGGACAATAAGGATATATTGACCTGATTGACCTGGATCGCTTCTTGCGTCCTGTGAGGACAGTGAGAGTATCTGTGAGAGTATCTGCTGTTTGCAGCTCTGATAACCATGTTTGATGCTTTTCATTATTAATATCAACATGTGACTTGACTTGTTTCTTTTTGGGAAGAGAGGAAGAAGCAATATTTGGTTTCATTGTCTGATATGAAAATTCTCTTACAATAAGTTATTATATAAGTGGATTTATGTCAAACGCTACATTTTTGTAACTGGGATGTCATGTTGCTTTTGGAGAGAAATAGTTTGTAATTAATGTTTCCACAATACACCCAGCAAGGTGTGAAGCACAGGGAGCATTTGTAATGAGAGCCGAGCCCATGACACAGCAAGTCTTATGAATTCATTTCTCCACAGACGCCACAGAGTAAAAGGTTACTGTAGCCACAACTGACCAGAGGTTAAAGTCCTCTGATGAAGGACCAGTGTGGTCCTGATGAATACTGGCCACAAAAAGCACTTTCATATCCGAGGTGAACCACATTCACTGGCCCAATCACGTTTCAAACAAAAGCATACACATCACTATGTTGCTGCTAATGTTGGCTTCATTTGCAGGCTTTCCTCTCCGCTGCAGCAATGCAAGCAAACCATGTGACCATCGAGCGATGCACATGAAAATGATGCCGAATCTGTCGCTGAATTTTTTTTGAGTTGTCCATCATTAGACGCTGATGTTGTTGTCTGTTTGTCGTATATAAGCATTCCGTCATTCTTCTGTGTGGAGGTCACAGTGTCTTTGTCTCTGTGTTTCCTGTTGTCTGTGCATCTGTGCTAACGCTCCTCAATAATTCATATTCTTATCTAACAAAGTATAAAAGTATGATGATGATGAGCATTCCCCCCCCCCCCATCCTCTAACACGAGCGCACACACACTTTCACCTGCTACATTCACTTTTTGTTCTGTGGTTTGTAACACACCACCCTTCTCCTCCCACTTCCCGTAGGTTTTGGTCTGCTTTGGGTTGACTGGTCATTATGCTGATGCAGCTCTGTAGTTTCAAGGTCAGTGCCCCCGCTTCCACCTGCCACCACAATGTCCCAGCTTCTCTTGTGCATGCTGACCAACATGAAGCACTCAGTTTGTCTTTGTCAGTTTCACCCACCGCTATATGTATCTATACATATATCTATATATATAGATATATGTATAGATATATTTATGGCTTGTGTGTTCGTATCAAAATTGTAACTGTTTTTAAAAAAGAACAGTGTTTTCCAAAGCAACACACTGGCAAACTTTAGTAATATAGTCATATCACATGGTGACAAAAGCAAACAACATTAAAATTGTATTGGGTATACCCTTCATCATCAACAGCACGCACACAGTGCTTCAGCATTTAGACCGATCCGTCGATGCTGGCTGAGTGGTGCCCTGAAGCTGCTGTCTAAACTGGAACATTCTCTGATCTGATCTGAGATGCCAGGGTGGAAAACTCTCTCCCTTGCATGTGGACTTCCTGGTAACGATGCTGCATCTTGCAGTGATCACAGCATCCACGCTGCACAGACACTGAACTCTTAGGCCACATGTTTAAACCATTTCTACAGGTTTGGCTAGGTTCATGTTGACAAGTTACTTTTCATTAACTGATTCTGAACACGATGCATTTGTGGTGTTTTATATTTTGGTTATATATTAGTTATATAAGCTTGTATTACTTAAAAAGTGTTTCTGATATTTTATCCACCCATTACTGGGAAGTTAATACAACAGACATTAATTATAGTTGTTTATAATTACAGGGTGTGTATGAGGTGATTCAGTTTTGTGTTATTGACAAAATCCAGTGCCAAGATAACACACAAAACTATAATAGCTGTAAATCAGTATTTATTAATAAAAATAAAAACTCAACCTGTGCTCGAAGGAAGGTTGACATTTTGTATTTTTTAATGACTGTTAATTAAGCTAGCATTCTTTGCATTAGTATTAATTATTCATATTTTTGCCATATGTTGTCCATTGATATGATTTATTTGTCTTCAGAAAAAAAAACTTTACCTTTTTATTCAGCTAAAATACTTCTTGTGGTGTATTTTGTTGTAGAACTTGTACCAGAATCGGTTCCTGGGCCTAGCGGCTATGGCCTCCCCAACTCGCAGCAGCCAGACCCGCCAGCGCTGCAAGGGTGCGGTTCGTCACAGCTACGGCCCTGACAGCTACGCTGTCAACGGTCTGAACCAGGAGGCCTTTATGCTGGGGTTGGCAAGGTCCACCAGTGACACCGATCTGGTCTCGCCGGATGCCCGATCCACCCTCACCATCAGCTCCTCCCACTACACCATCGGCCAGTCTGAAGACCTGGTTATCACGTGGGACATCAAGGAGGACGTGGATGCTGGAGACTGGATTGGAATGTATCACGTTGGTAAGTGATATAATGCTCATTTAATAATCTGCCTAAATACAACAATGCCCACTGGTGTAAGAGTGCAAAACTAAATTGTCTCTATTTGTATAGCTCTTTTCTAGTCAGTATCTTGTCCAAGGACACCTTGTAAAGTGTAATTGCAGAGATGGGGATCGAACGGCCGACCTTCTGGTGAGAGGACGACCCACTCCACCTTCTGAGCCACAGAGCACCATAGACAAAGACATTGTTCATCGTCAGTCGCTGTTTACATTTGGACTTAGCTGTTAAGTGTTGAGTTTAGCTGTGTTAGCAGTATGACTCAAGGGATGACAATGTTGGCCTGTTTGTTGATCCATCACTTTGGTGGCGGGCCATGGCCGGGACAATTCCCATCTGGAACCCAATTTATTTTCGATTTCCAAGTGGCGTTATAACAGTCACAGAATATATCTACAACCAACTAGAAGGGAGCTCTGACAGTGTTTACCTCAGCGAAGGCTAATGCCCTATCTCACCATGTCAATGCACTGTTTCCTATTAATTATCAAGACTATGTAGTTTGCCTTATTCTACTTTGTCCTGCTACAGTTTCAAAATGAACCACAAAAATGCTCACCCCTCTCATAATAACAAGAGATCTCGTGTCCCTAAAGCTTTTACTCTCCGTGCAGACAGTCAGACCACATAATTTCAGCTGTACGTACCTGCAGTGCTGTCCTCTCTCATGTGGGAGCTTGTCTTTTACTTTTCACTTCAGAAAAATGTAAACAGACTACAAACTACTTGTTTGTTCTACTAGAGAAAATATAACATCCACCTCGTTTCAAACTATCTAGATAGCGGATTCAACGGACCTCTACACAACTGTGACAGCCATCTTGGTTGTTAATAAATACTTCCGCGCTGCTCCCCTTTGGCAGTCCTCAGTCAGTCATCAAGTGGTGTTATCAATACACTTACAAGTAAGACTGTGGTTTCATCAGTTTCATCTCTTTCCAGATGAGGCTTTGTCGGAGAACTTTCTGGACTATAAGAACCGAGGGATCAACGGCTCTCACAAGGGACAGATCGTTTGGAAAATTGACTCCACCTCCAATGTGACCGACTGTAAGTGATAAAAACCCTGCAAGGCAACAAGTTTCTCATTAAAATCAACTCAAGTTAAGGTCCTTTATTAACAGCCACTATCATAATGTATGATCAATTTAACTACAAGTCTTAGCTGTTTTACTTTATCATATTATATATGATACAATTTTGCGCATTCCTGTTTGTAGTTCACTGCAAGCTCAGTCAGAAGCAGCTAAATTAACCTTCTATGCACAATATTAATAAATTAAAGTCACATAGTGTTTGAAAGACACATTCAGTCACTTTGTTTAAAGGTGCTGAAAATACCTGTCTGTGTCATGTTCACGCTGACCTCACACTGTGGGAAATATGAGGTGATGTGAAGATGGAAGAAACTTATTCATTGGTTAGTTACAATGATGTCATTCCACAGAGGGAAATCATTTCTGAAGACTGACAGCAGCTCATGCAGCAGTTTACTGGACACAGTGTGTCACAATGAGTTCACTTTACACTTCCCTGTTTTAGTTCAGTTGTCACTGTCATCAGTCTTATCTCCAGTGGCAGCAAGCAGACGTTTTCAGTTAATGCTGATTTAAGCTTTTGTTTCAAACAAAACAAACTGCAAAGCTAGTACCACATTGTCTTATGGTCTCTGAAGCCAAACAGACAAACACAGCAGAGTTGCACTGAAGGGGTCAGACGTGAGGCAGCTTTCAGCTGTTTTCAGCCATGACCTTCAGAGGATGTCAACAGAATTGTGTCCGGACTTTCTCTGGAGTTTGCCTTTCACACATGCAGAGCGCAGCAGGGGAGACTCCGCTCTGATGAATTCACAACATCACAGGCTCTCTCAGAATCTCTGAATCTGAAAAATCTCTAATGCATGTCTGAAAGCAGCTTTAGGTGGAGGTCAAATATGAGTGTTCATAAATACAGTACTTTCACATATCAAGATATCATTTTACAGTTATAATGCCAGGTAGACTACACTGTGGTGCTTTCTCATCTGTTCTATCGAAAACAACAGATATATTTGCAGCAGCACGTTAACACCAGTCTCTGGAGAAGTATCAGCGATTCTTGTAGAAGCACATCAGAGTGAAAACGGATGCAAAAATAGGAGACAGTCACAAATGGTGCACAATTGCTGCATTTAGGGGCGCAGGGAACGGTGTGCGGGAGTGAGAGAGACCATATGGATGCTCACATGAAACAGTATAAATGTATGAGCATAAAACCGTGCAGGTGTTTCCGTTCAGTAATACCATCCACTCAATCACAGACAGAGGAGGCTTTTTACACAGAGTTTAGGCTTTATTGGACTGAAGCTGTTAAATTAAACTGTTATTGCATATTTATCTATGTCATGAAGCCTCTGATCCGTAAAACATATAATAAAAAAATGATGCACTCCCTTATAAATGTATTCCTCACCGATAGAAAATAAGTTCTAGTTTTCATCTGTATTTGGGAAAGAGAAATTTCATATTATGTCAGGCAAAAATAGCACATAAAGAAACAATCAAGTTCACAATTGATTGTAAAGAAAAACTGTCACAGTCACAGGTGGGAGTCAAAGGGATTCCTGAAGCACAGAACACATTCCACCATTTTCCATCATCATATTCTGTTCACAGATCTGTCTCTCAAAAAACAATTTCACATTCGATCCACATGTGTGTTGAACCTCAGACCCGACACAGTTTTTTATATATTTCCAAAATGAATTAAATATCCATTGGACATAAATACACTGTCTTTATTGACAGAAGCCACATTTGTAGACCAATTACGTCACAGCAACGCGACTAGTGTCTCAATTCGAAGGCTCCAACAAATGCGTCCTTCCACCCTTGAGTAAAGGAGGCGTAAACGGTAAACATGTTAAAGTAAAAAAAAAATCAACTGAAGAACATTTTCATCCGTAGATCTTTTCCTAAGTGATGTCTGTAAGGGCGGGACAAGCTGGTGATAGGAAGACCAGACCGTCTCATTTTGGTTCTAGGCGGCTGTTGGAGGATGCAGCTGACGTCGGCTGTGTAGACCTGGTCCTCCGAAGGATGCGGCTGCTGAATTGAGACACAGCTTCTGTTTCTGAAATGCTTGGTATTAGTTCCCGTCACTTTAAGGCCCACCTCCTGATAAAACCCAGTTTGCTCTGATTGGCCAGCCGTTCCACTTCGTTGTGATTGGTCAACCAATTCCATCTTGTAGAGGAAATACACTCTTGCTTAATCTGGTTTTATTAGGGGGCGTGCCCGACTCAAAGCAAATTGCCAATTGCTTAGTATTGGATTTAAGATATTACTCTATCAGTGTGGTGTGGTATTTATCATTTGTAGAATAAATAAGTTTAGAGCAGAGAATCTCAGGCCGTGAACCAACATGTTGATGACCAATGGTTCAAGCATTGAATATGCTCTTCATTAAGTTGAATTCATTTTGTCGCCAGCATATTCAGTGATAAAAGCATTGTTTGAAGAACTGTCGAATCTCTTGCGTGTCCTTTGTGAACAGCTCAACTGAAATTTTAACAGTTTTGACAATGTCATCAAACCATTTAAGGCTGCCAGTAGGAATGAAATTGTAGTATCATCAGTGAGCTTACACTGAAGTGTCGCTGTGTGTTTCCCCTCCTCTCATCAAACCATCTGAGTGTGTCTGGTCAACCAGGGGATTTACTATGACCTTAATCTGCTCATGTCCCCCAAGCATTTTGCTTTTTTTGCTCTACTTCCCCTGTTGAGTCCCACAAATCATAAATGTTGCTGACTAGTTATCTCTAATTACTTCAATAATATATCTTATATTGGTTCATTCCAATTCATAAAAGCATGAAAAACTGAAAACGTGTGATATAGTATGATCTAGCCCCTATTCATTTATTAATGATACAAATCAATTATGTCAGATGTTTTAAATACCATTTGATTTGACCTCTGACCTCATGGCTGCCCCTCCTCAAAGTCAGAGAGGCTTTATTGACATGATCATAGTAAGATACAGAAATGTCAAAGCACCTTGGACAGAGCATTTGTTGTGTAACAGGCACATTTGGGAAATTCAGGTATAAAGATGTAAAATTACATCCAGTGTTGAGATGAAACTAATCCTTGTTTGATTTTCTCCTCCCTATTTACCTTCCATGTGTGTGTGCTCCTCAGCTGAGACCCAGGTCTGCTTCAGGTACTACCACGGTGTCACCGGAGCACTGAGGGCCACCACACCAACCGTAACCATCAAGAAGGGCCCAGCACCCGTGAGTCACACCATCCCTCATGGCTTTATTTTGACATATAGAGCTGTCTGAGAGTTGTGGGCCTTCAATGGTCACTCAGTGTTGTTTGTCCAGTGTCTAGTGGAAAAAGCTGTCAGCTCCTTAAGTTTGGTTTCAGGCAGTCAATCAAGCTTCGTGGTGAGGAAGCTTTGGGGCAGAAAAACATTTTTTTCTAAAAACTTCATTTCTATTATTATTGACCAAGTCCCCTTCCTATTTCATACCTTCATACAGTGCTTCCATGTGCTCTGACTCACATCATTCACACACTGCTGGGAGTACCTTGGGGTACATTGTCTTGTCCAACGACATGTCAACATGTAAATTAGAATACCTTATAGTTAGTGTATGACTTGGGGTGTGGGGTATTGGGGGGCTAGACCCTAAACCATGGAAGGATTGTTTTTTTGTAAAGTATTGCAAAAGTGTAGGTAAGTGATAATCTGGAAATGTTCTTGAGATGGAAGATGGCTGGTTTGTGATTTGATTTGATATGTAAGTCAAAACAGATGGTGGAGTATAGAACAACACCTAGATTAATAGAGCAATAGTAACCCTTCACCCCCATGCACTTTGTATATATTTTTCCTCATGACCAGCATTAACTAGTACTACATAAAAGACCAGATATCATCAGATAGACAGTTTTTGACAAGAGGGTCAAAACCGATTTAGCAGAACCAAGATGTTGAGTTTTTGTTCAACCATTCTTCTTCCATCCACAATGCAACGCTATTCTAGAATGTTATGCTAGTGAATGCTTAATGGAGCCTCTAGCTTCAAGCAGAGATGAGGTGTGGGCTACAGAGGTCTAGTGAGCCCCATTCTTTCCAACTGTAGGTGTAGCGTGTGAGCATGCCTGTGTGTATTACTGCACTTAATGTTTTATTTTATCTTGAAAATGGAAAACAAAGCTGCAGAAGATTTTAAAGCTGCAAACATGGGAAGGAAGGATGAGAGTGGAACTTTATGCTTTTTGCTCTGTACTGACATATTGTATGAAAACATCACAAATGTGTTCTCACTTGTCAGAATGGATAAAGGTTGTAGATAGTGTGTTGACCTTTTATGGCTCCACGCAACACTTTGTGTGCCTGTTGTTGTATACATGGGTGTAAAGAGATTAAAGAAAAAATATTTAACAAAGATAAATGTACACACAGGCGACATGGTGGTACAGCGGTTGCCTCAAAGCAAGAAGGTTCTTTGTTTGAATCCTGGTTGCAGGGCCTTCCTGTGTGGAGTTGAATTGTTTTACCTGCTTCTGTAGGGGTTTTCTTTTGGTACCTCGGCTTCTTTATCTAAATCCAAAAACCGGGTTAGGTTTTTTGGAGACTCTGAATCAACTGTAGGTGTGAATGGTTGTTTGTCTTTGAATGTCAGTCCTGTGACACGCTGTCCAGGGTTTAACCCGCTTCTTTCTCATCCAGTGTCAGCTGGGATTGGCTCCAGTGAGGAAAATTAAAAAATTAAAAATTAAATAGATAAAACGTTCTGCATTGATAGTAGTACCCCTTCCATTTAAAACAGAAGTAAGTATATTAAGTACTTGAGCACAGTTTCTCAAGGTACTTGTGTAAGTTGTTTCAAGTGTGTAGGTAGTTTCATCTCGGTGAACTATCTGAGGTTCTTTTCTGGTCTTGTGTCTCCTTGTGGGGGCCACAGCATCTGCTGGAGGACTCCATCTTTTTCTTTTCACCACAGCAGTTCTTTGTGACTTTATGGTTGTATTTTGGGTCTGTGTCATGCTGCAGATTTAATTTGTTATCAGTGATGAATGAGAACCTAAACATGGCTTAAACTGTTCACAGTGTTTTATATACAATTAGTGAAATGACCTATAAAAAAGTACAACTATTTTACTTTTAGCTATTAGCTGCAGTTGATTGATGGAGATAATTGGCACCACTAACACGTAACCTCTTACATTAAAGTTGTGGAAAGCTTTGTTCACAGCAGTCCCTGCTGCTGTGGGATCTTTTCATGAATCTGCAAGTAATGGGGCATTATTGTTATAGGTAAAATAGATTCCAATGCAGAAATAGTTGCATTCTTTTTTTGAGCAGCAGAGCGACAGTGTTACTGTCACAATATCAATGTTGTCATTGCTTTTCCAAAGCTTCTATCAGTTGCACCCTGTTATCAGGAGGGTGTCCAGCTGGGCGATTGGATTTCCATGTTTGCCTTCCCATTCTGCTGCTGTGGGCCTCTGGAAATGCTGATGGCTCCAGAACTTGATCTGCACTTGCTTCCTGAGGACAAATGAATAAAAATAACCGCCATAGGGAGGGAGGGAGGGAAGGGAGGGAAGGAAGAGTGGAGATAACAGGCGATAGCTCAGCTTAGGTAAGTCATTCAGGTTTTTGGAGGCAAGAGGTAGAATGCACCAGGTTAAATAGCTTGAAGTTGAGAAGGAGAGGAAGAGGTGGAAGAGATGGACTGACAGAGAAGCAGCATAAGGACGTTTGTTTGCTTCGATTTTTTCACTCTAGCCAGACGGTGCAGACAGACAAGACACAGCATTTGTTTGTGTATGTGTGTGATGGATGGTTTGTGTCTCCAGCTGGGACTGCTGTCTCCCAGTCATCCCGAGAGGAGAAGCGTGAGGAGAACGAGGCTCAGCTGGATAGCCTGGGTAACCATAAATGTGTTTCTCTCTTCTCTTCATATGCAATTGTAATACCTCAATCAGTCACCTGCCTTTTGCTGTTTTTTTCTGCTGTGGATTATAAGATGTGTGTCAGATTGCATTGATTACAATTCATTAGCTTGATTGGCACATAGAAATGTCTGATAGACATGATAAAACAATGAGTTAATATTTGCATGTAAAAATTATGTTTGACCATGATATTGGGGCATTCTGGTGGGGTCTGCAGTTTATTGTGCAGTTACATGGCCCCTAATTTGTACATATTATTAATCAATCTGATCAATAATATAAAGGTTATATAGATTAACAAGAACAGATGAAACATTGGAAAAATAGTTTGGAATTTTGGCATGTTTTCGAACTAAGGACAGAGTCAGGCTAGCAGTGACCCCTGTTTTCAGTCTTTACGCTAAGCTAGGCTATTTACCTTTGTACTTAACATACACACCAAATTTGGAGGTGGTCTGGGACACATGTGGCCCCTTTATATTTGTGTAATGAATGCACATCTGTCCTGGGCCACATATGAGGAATCACTCAGCTGATGTCCTCTAATGTGCTACAGTTTCGCAATGTATCTAACGCTTCTCAGAGCCTTTAAGTTGATTTTATTTGTTAGTGATTTAAAATCAGATTCCATCGTTCCCCTTGCCAAAAAACCTATCCCCCTTACACATCCTGTAAATTTTGCCATCTCCTCTCAGCCATCCCCTATCCCTTATAGCTGTGAACTCATGAGATCCTCCGGACAATTCCTGTACTGCATGGGACTGTATGTGAGAACACAAATGAGTTTCTCCAGCCAGTCCCCTATAGTGAGAAATCTGGATAATGTCCGAATGAGCCGATATTAGAATACGGCAGGAGATCCTCTGCACGATGGATAGGTAGGTGTGTTGATGACATTTCTAACACAAAAGGAATACAAATAGCTCAGGATGAAAGAAACGGTACCATACACGTAGAAAACACTGAGGCAGAATTCTGCAGCGCCACCTCTCACCTGAACACTCAGGAAAATGTTTGTGTTGTTAACACATCTGACCAGAGAATCTCTAATGATCTCCTGAGACGAAGTCTGGACCCAATTCTGCAGACATCCTCTTGAGCTCATGCCTGAAAATTGCTTATGAGAGAGAGGGCTGCGTGTGAGGTGAGTCATCAGAATCATCCCCCTTAGTAAAAATGAACAAATCGCACTTAGTTTGTGAATATCAGACTTATAATAAATAATAAGCAATAAATCTATTATCTTCATTATAGCAGTTTGTGTTTGTGGCAAGGTATGCTGCAGGGGGCAGGGGGCATCTGGCAATCCCTCCCCTCCCAAAAAATAGGGGAGATTAAAAGTCCACCCAATTTAATTGGCTGTTCATTTAATTTGTTTTAAATATTTAGGTCTCTTGGGTTTCGCCCCTCTCAGGGTCAGGAAGGTGTTACTGTAGCTAATGGTGAGAAAGATGTAGGAGATAAGGCGGCTCTGTCAGAAGCTACAGGTGAGACAGAGATCTGTATACTGCATATTCTTCTGTCGTTTATTTGACACAAAGTATGAGGCAATTCAAATATTAGAGGAGGAGCACCTTATAATTCCAATTTATAATATAATAAAGCACATTCAATCAGTGACCACCACAAATACCTTGTAATTCCTTGGAAGACACAGAGTTCACCGGCGTATTGGTTAACACTAATTGGTACATTGGTGTACTGTGGAGTTCTCCAAATGTCACGGAGCACCAGGTTCATTGCTACCGCTGAGTGACTGACATTAGCCAATGGCATTTGATAAAACACCCACCACAGACCTGCTCTCAACATTGAGCTGACATAAACTCTTCTCCACTATCCTGTGCTGTGATTCAGCCACACTCAATAAGCTAGATCACCAAGCTGCTCTGCTTTTAAAGCCACCGGAGTCCATTCCAATATCTTACTCACACTGAGGTCCTCAAATGACCTGTTATCACACATGGATTCATTTCATGTATGTAGCCTCTTTAAAATCTCTTTTACCTTGAAACATTTAAGACGGTACATGCATTCAGTGCATTTTATATTTTGATAGCAGATGGGTTTTTGGTCTTCCTGCACATTCTGCAGCCGGATGTTAGATTATATAAAGTGTGCTGCAGATGGATGAAGTTGTCATTCAGTTTATCTGTGAGATTAGAATCGCTGAGGAGACCCGTGCTGGCGCTTCTCCCTCGCTCTGTGCTCAGCAGAGCAGATTAGCATCTCATTAAAATGAATTGGTCCAAACATCTGTCACGTCCTTCATCCCTTTATCTTGTTGTTTTCACTGCCTGTTTTTTTTCCTTTCCAGCCAGTTACACAAGTATTTAGACCTGACATAGAATTAAATGAGATACTGCAGGATTCTCAGAGTTTCACACTAGTTATTTGTGGCCACAATATCAACACTGACTAACAAGTATTCTTTTTTTACTGTTTCAATTTGGTATAATCTTATTTCGTTGTATAGCTGGGTACAGCAGATTAATTCACTAATACCCCCTGGCCTCTCTCCTTTCTTTCTCACATATTGACAAAAGACCATAATGTAGACTGACTACATCCCTTGGTCTCTGTGAACAGAAATGATGTATGTGTGTATTTGTATACTGAGTGGGGAGTGAGATCTGATCACAATTGGCTACTGGAGACATTTGTGAGAGGATCACTAAAGACAGATGCTAGGGCCTAGGAGTAAGGCTGTGCTTCCGAAACAGTGTTAACATCACCAGCATGCTAACATGCTCATAGTGACACTGCTCACATGTTGATGTACGGGTTAGTGAACGTATAAGTAGTTTTGCAAGTCATAAAGCAATGTATAGGACCAAGTGATATCTGATGCTGATGCATGAGAGGGATGATTGGCTGCGGCTCAGGAAGTAGGGCTGTCAATTTACCAGAGGGTCGGTGGTTCAGTCCCTGGGTAAGAAACTCTACCCCAAATTCCGACAGCTGTGCGTGGTAATCGCTAGATATAGAAGCAATGTATGAATGAATGTGCATGATTAGATAAGTGCAACTGTGAAATGTTTTGAGTGGTCAACTATAAATACAGTCCATTTATCAACGTCATCATAACTCATCTTTAGGGGGGCCATGGAAATGTTACTGAATTTCATGGTAATCCAGCCAAAAACTAAAAAGTCAAATCCCTGGTAGCGCTGAAGTAAAGGTGAGAAAATCCCCAAAATGATTAGAATTCATCCTGTGGGAACCATGAGTATCTGGTACAATGTTCACAGTTATCCATCAAATAGTTGTTATGATTTGCCTGATGCCAGTTGACATCCAGTTCAGGTTTTTGGGAATAACTATGTCCCACTGCTATTGCTAATCTGTGAGTAAAGGGTTTATATAGACATGTGACCTGTCCAGGGTGTACCCCACAGCTGGCTCCCCCTCGTCCAACCCACATAGGTTAAGTGGTATGGATGGATGGATGTGATATACAGTACATGTCGATTCACCACGTGTAAGCAAGGCACAGGTACGGACCTGCTCGGCCTCTGATTCCTCTTGGCCTGTCAGCCTCCTGCTTAATCACCCGTCCATCAATTACACCTATTTATCGTGGACGGGACCATGGTGACAACAGAGCACCACAGACAACCTTTTCCCCAGCAACATTCTCCAGCTTTCCTCAGGAGATCTCAACACATTTAGGAGTTAGTCCCATTTCATGTCTTGTTACTTGTTTATATTTACCTGCTGTTAGATGGTTTACATATTGTACGAGTGACTGCTGCCCTCACATAGGATTATTTGGGGAAATTACTGCAGCTACTGACTGTCTGAATTGTCGCACCAATTTATGAACAATAAATGCTCACAAAGTTGTAAATGTTGCTCAGAGCTGACTAGTGATCTGAACATTAAACAGAATCCAGAGTGTGTGATGTTATGATATTTTGCCCATCACATCTCTTTTTTCTTATTTGACTGGTTTAGGTAGATACGGGACGTCAAGCAAAACACTGTACGGCGGAGCTGACGCGACACAGTATTTACACTGTGCTCCGCTTTCTCCACTCTCCATCATCTCCACTGTCTCTCCCCCCATCCCCCTCACTCCTTCTCTTCCTGGCTCAAGAATCAATGTCAGGATAATGAGGACTAGAGTATTGATCGCAGTCATGCTGAAAGTGGAGCCTTAAAAAACACTGTGCTGAAATGAGATTGGACGGAGTGTCCCTACCTAAACTAAATGTATTTAAAATCATGTCTCGGATCCTTTAGGATTTGAAGGAATGTATTCATAATGTATAAAATTGACATTCCTGTGTTTTTTTTCCTATTCAGTTTATAGCTGATTATTACTCCACCAAATAATGCCTTCACTTGTATACTTTAATTTTTTTACTTGTATACCATTGTTTAGCTTCAGTGACCTACTTTTCTGATAGGCCTCATTAAAGCTTCATCTTCTAGGAAAGGAAGGAAACTGTAGAGGAGAAGTCTGAGTGTGTTTTCATGTTCCTCATGTTCCTATATTAACCATACTGTCTGTCTGTGCCTTCAGATATTAAAGCCAGTGGTTAGTCCTGAAGTCAACCATGGACTGGGCAACAGGAGACTCATTAACTTTTCCCTGTCAGGTATGCCACACACATCTGTCTTTTTCTTTCTAATCTTCACAAACAGATTCTTCATGTGAATATACAGACTGCAGGCGAGGGAGGAGGTGCTGGGGCTGCAGATTGCTGTTACGATAGTGATCAAGAAACATGTGAAAAAAGGAAACTAGTTGGACTGTAAACAGTGTACGGTGAAAGAAAGAAGTCATGTCCTACCCAGATAATTGACTGTCTGATAATAACCGATGGGCCCAGAGATTGGTGTCTTTCCATCTGTTCCTGTATTGGTTTATTCCGAGAATCAGCACCCTTCAATCAGTGTGTTCACACACTCTGTCATCTGACCCGTCTTTTGAGCTGCTGCTCTCTCTAGTGATATCATATCTCCGGCTGTAGAAAAGCAGCAGTAGCTTTGACATTTAATGTTTCCATAATGTGGCAAAACTCGAATACACATTTTTGACATAATAAATTATATATACAGTCAATTTACTATCGATCGATTCTAATCTGACTCTACAGTGTCCAGTGCAGCAGCAGTTCTTTGCTTTTAGTGGAAGTAACTCTAGCTTTTAAACCCTCTGCAATGAAATTAAACGCACATCACTATGGCGACACAACATACCAGTAGACAGCACAAATATGAAAGACACAATCTCAATGGTAGCTGCAGCCTGGTAATCATCCTCTGTCCACAGTGACTGAAGAAGCTTTTCTCTATTTGACCATTGTTTTGAACACGCAGCAGGTACAAAACTGGAGAAAAAAGAGAATGCAAATGGGATTCAAGAGCTTTCGATAATAAGACAAGACAGCAAACAATCTCCTGCTGCTTTACTTTGGGCTGTAATTTGATTTTATTGCCCAGGCATCTGCAAACTGTTTCTGTAAGAATCATTGCAATCAATGCATTTTGATATCAGTGGTCATCTGAATCATTAATGAAAGACAATTTCACTTGTCAGGTCTAACAAGTGAAATTGTAATTTGCTGAACAGAAGCAGTTTCTTGTCATTCATATAACATCATCCTTGTATAATTTCACGTCCTTCAGACCTCCAGGCAGTTGGTTTGAAGAAGGGGATGTTCTTCAACCCTGACCCCTACCTGAAGCTCTCCATCCAGCCTGGAAAGCACAGCATCTTCCCCTCGCTGCCACACCATGGCCAAGAGAAACGCTCCGGAGTGGTGTGCAACACTGTCAACCCACAGTGGAGCACAGAGGTACGCACACACACACACACACACTCTTGAAAAATGTCTCTGTTATATTTAGACATCTAATATATATGCTCAGGGCCAGAGTGGGTCTTGTGGGTCTTATTTTCAGCTCAGGAGTTTCATGCCTCAGACCAGCCTATTTAAATCCACAACCTATCATACTGGAGATCACAAAAACAATCTATCCCTGCCTCCTGACCACCCACCCCATGCATTTTTTCAGTAAACACTAAATATTTTTCACTGATAAAATTATCACTGGTATGTTGATGTGTTAGGAATTAGGAATTCGGTGCGGGTAAATCTCTGTCACTAGAGAATTGTTATTTAAGTGGCTATCTCAAACATGTCTAATACATTGTATAAAGCCAGTGGAGTAGACTGCACAAAACTGTGGAGGGAGGATTTAGTGCTTCTTTGGTTTCTGTAGTGGAGTAAGAGGATCAATGTAATCCATGAAAATCATGCTCGCTTTGTGGAAAACAAGATCAGCCGATTGACTTTCTCATTTAGGACTTTTTCTTGGAAAACCATACGTTTCTGGAAAGTTCATTGCTGGTCAATCCAGTTATTGACACTGCAGAATAATGACATTAGCAATATGGTTGAATAATGCTAAACCACTCAATGTTTTCTGTATGTAGCATGAATCCCTCTGAGACCTCCCTTTACCCTCTCGGCAGATCAATGTTGGAAAAAAGATTTTATAACAAGCTGTTTTATGTCTGGAAAAAGTATAAAGAGAAAAATAAGAGACAAAAAAAACTTTTGGTAGTTAAGAATTTAAGAAAAACTATCCATCAATTTTCTCTCTTCTTGTGAATAACTGCAACTTGTCCAACCAGTTGTCAGTTTTCAGAAGCTACAGAAAATGCTTTTATTTTTAGATAACTTGTCTCAGCCTAACCTAAATAACAGACCCACAACCTGAGTTGGGAGAAGATGACCCTGGTGGACAAAGGTTTCTCAGGATCTGCTGCAGGAATTTCTGCAAATGTTTATTTTATATAAATGATATGTGAAGAGAACAGGAACTGATGAGAGAAAGTTTAGACCATAAACTTATGAACCAAAAAAACCAATGCTTATTTGTGTGGTGTTGGGCTGTTGCCTGTCTGACTGCAGTGAACGTCTCACAGTGCTCTACCGCCACAATCTCTACCCTTTATAGTGTCCCTCACGAGACTCCGTACACTGATTTACTGCAGTGACCCTCTTGGCAGCATCCACTCAGCTCAGAGCCACTTTCCTTTTCCAAACAGCTCCCACGTGGAGTGGAACTCCGGCTGCCAGGCAGTAATGCACTGTATAACTCTAATGGGTCTCCATAGCCTGCTAGCTCAGTCACTAAAGTAACCATTGCAAGTACGGTTAGTTTAACACTAAGCTAGTGACTCCAGTCCCTTTCAGATTTATTCTGAATAATCTTAACTGAAAATAAATGAAGAAATAATATAGCCCAACAAGAATTGATTCTTGGAAACCTGGAAAGTTTGTTTGATGGAGTCGAATACTCTCTTGAATAATTGATGTTGGGTTATATTTATCTTCATCCGTCAGCTAAATACATTTTGACCTTTATTAATGTCACTGTATGTAATATGATTTGATTGACTGGCAGTTAATCAGCAGAGTTTTACTCCTCTGTCGTCTTGGGGATGTTTAAGTATATGCATGGTATTCTGTAATAATACATTTAAAGATACTTCCTCTTGAGGTTTTTTCACGATTTTTCCATTATAGTGTTTTAGCTCATCAAAAGACTTTAGGCATAAGACAAGACTGGAAACCATCTTCTCTGAGAAAGGGTTGTTGTATTGCTGCATTTCACAATAGAGTCAGTCTGCGGGGGAGGGACTTTGGAAGTTGGATCAACGAGAAAAATCTGTGCCACACCACTGTGACTGTCAGTGAGTGAAGGGTATCTGACCCCGGCAGAGATTAAAAATAATTCATCCCTAGCTGCTTTAATTTCTGCTTTAATGTCATTTTATGTTTTGGATAAAATTTAAATTGCAAGTACTTAATGAGTGGGGCTTTTTGACATAGTTATACTGGTCCTCACCCAAACTTGTATCCCTCTCTCAGTATGAACATAGATTCAATAGCTAGATTCAATAGCTGGATAATACTACACAAATACAGACAAACAACACAATATGTACAACTACCTTTATGGGGGAATGAGGTTCTGGGTGACACACTGTACGTAGAGTGCATATAGATACAAGCAATTTTGCCATATTATTCCAGTGCAGCTAAATAGATACAGTGTGCTTCAATAATTGAGTATAATACGTATATGTGTATTGTGGACGGACTTTTAAAATGTCAGTCTAAACACAAAAGCCACATTTCATAAACAAGGGCATGTTGAAACTGTATAGTCGTCTTAAAATAGGGACAATTGCAGCCTGACTATTACCCGACATAAATGTGACATAAGTATAAAGCCACTGTGCTGCGCAGGGAAAATAACCTTTATTTCCGTGATCCATGCATACCTTTGCTGTCCCTCATTATGTGCCGCACTGCAGGTCATATACTGCTGAGTGGATAGTGTGGCATGCTGGAGTGAGGTTCTCAGTATCTACCTTTTGCATGACCAGGCTACATCCACACGTTTGACATTTTCAAACTAAAACGATCTCAGTCCTCACAATCGTTAAGGCTTCATATCAGTTTTAATCTCCATCTATACTCACTCTATATGCGTATCACATGACCACCCATGCACATACCGGTGTAAAGAGGAAGGGACGCACGTGCTGGTGTAAACATGAAGCATTTGGTTGTTAGTTGCAGAATTGTTGCAGATAGCTTGAATAACAGCTTGTCTGCTAGGAATGTAAACAGTTTTCGCATAGTAAGATGCAGGATTAATTATTTTACAATAGTGGTTAGCAAAGACAAGAGGGTGTGTCTACTTTATTGTTTCCAAACATCTCCCTTGCTCCCCGTTCAAAAAGCAAGCCTGTTGTTTTTTAAAGGAAACATTGCCAGCGGTGTTTCCAAACTTCTCCACTTTGTATCGGCCTCCGCAGCTTCATACAACTTCTCTTTCTACAGATTAAACATGAAAACGTATACTGCAACAACAAAACACACACCGTTATCTCAGCCTCTCCTCTGTCTCCCACCCTCTCAGTTTACTAAGTTTGTCCCACATCCTCCATTCAGGAACACACACTTTTGTTGTCTGCTCTCTTCTGGCTCATCTTGTAAATTATTCACTCTCTTTCTACCTTCTCAGTCCCACACTTTTCATTTCATCCCATGCAAGCACCTATATTCTTTTCATTTCTTTGCTCTAGTTTCTTCATTTCACTCCTCTTTCCTGCCCTCATATTGTTTCCATTCATGTTTCCCTTAAATTTCCATCTGCCAGCATTGGCTCTCCACGTGTAGAAAAAGCACAAGAGACATTGATAATTGAGAAGAAAACGGTCAAAACACACATACACTTTTAAACATAAAGGATAAAGCAAGTTGAAGTTTGTATAAGAGCAGTTAGCCTCATGCTCTATGTTGTTGGTCCGCTGAGATATTGTCAAAAAAAAGTCAGCTGCTGAAAGAGAAGAAGAAAGAGCAGAGAAATCCATGAGAGAATCACTAAAACTGCATGAAAACAATTTGCAAACAAAATGTTATTCATGTCATTTGAGGAATGCAGAAAATGATGAAGTATATCGACAGTGCATGTGCAGATAACTCCCTACGCTCACATGATAACTCATAAGAAAGCAGCGGCTACAACTGGTGAGCTAAAGCTGGCGTTTTCTGAATTATTCATGAGGCTACATACACAGTTGAGATCGCCATGACCACTGCTGCAGTCATTCCAACGCACATCTGTGTCTCTGCAGCCACTTAGGAACCCAACATCTCCTCTCTCAAACACACACACACGTAATATCTAGCATATCTATGCTCTGAAGTCCATCTATACCATTTCTTCTATAAATAATATCTCTCTCTATCTCTTTACACTTTTTAACAAGTAATGGGGTCATGTTCCGCCATCTTCAATTGGAATAACACCCATGATCTCTCACATTAATCAGTGACACACCTTTGTTACTGTAAATAACTATTGCATTGGGATCCATGTTTCTTTAAAACACAAACTCCTTTGACTGTGTACTCTGGCTAAAATACTCAAATGTATTTTTACAAGAAAAGTACTTATATTCAGCCCAACATGAGAGAATAGTCAAATAAACTAAAATCATAGCAGGGATATAAGACAGTTTTCAATTCACAGAAGCACTCTGAGGTCTTTATAGAAACCTGCGCAAAACTCATGTACTGTAGTTTTACATCAGGGCCAGAATTTGACGTCTGCTGCTTCAGCTTCTGTACAACAGCAGAGCCCTTCTGGTGCTGTGAACGCAGAATGCTGTTACACACAGGTCCCTTGAAGCCTCGTCCTCAGATGAAAAATAGGTTTCTATGAAGGCTCTGGCAGGAGCAGTGTGCTCAGAATATAGAAAGGCAGTGGCATTGGGTTTGTATAACATTTCTGAAAGAAAAACATTAGAAATGCCTCCAATTAGAAAAACAAATCTATCCTACGTCAGTGCTGTTGCTCATTGATACTTATTCCGACTTCAGCCAAGCTGTTTTCAGACATGTCCTTCTCCGGAGCGTGTCATTCACAGATTCTCAGCTCAGGCACGTTCACAACAACACAGAAAGCTAAACCAATACGTTTGAAGTGAATTTAATGAAAAATCTCTTCTCAAAGGATGTACCATTTTACTTCTGTTGTGGAGATCACGTGTTTTTGTTTAGAGCACAACAACATCTGCTAATACCACCAAAAGCTCTCTTGTCATCTTCATTGGTGTGAGGGAAAATACTGTATATGCTTTGCATTTATCATAAAAAACACTAATAAAGCATCTAATAATATGATGAATAGTAAATAGGTGCATATTAGGTACGTATTTGGCTGTGATAAGTGGTGGGACACTGCTATAAAAAGGCAATGCCAAGGAAGAATAAACCATTATCATAGTAGACAATTTCTTACAAAGTCATTAGTTGTCCACAGTGAACACATGGATACTAAAGATATCTTGTGACTAAAGATCAATTAAATAAGAGGCAAAATTAATAATATTCATTTTTAAAATATTTATATATTTGAAGGATGTACCACTATGGACATTTTTGGGCTCAAGTTTGGATGAAATAGTTTGTGCCACCAATTATTTGATTTCATTCATTTAGAGATGTTTTCTCAAGGGCTTGAGGCAACAATCAGTGTTTTCGTTCGCATTTTATTTTGGTAGGTGTCGGAGAAAAAAAAGCTTTGGAGGATTTGGATGGTTAAGTCCCAGGCTCTGAAGCTCTGAAGTAACGCTTTAAGAAGCTTGGACAGCCACCAGACCACCGCTGAGAGAGACAAAGAGAGGAGGAGGAGGAGGGATGGGAGAGGGAGATTACTTATTATATCCAAACTAAAACCTCATACATCTCTAATTGGCTCAGAGAATAAAATACAGCTCTAAATTAAGTGGATAAAAGTGGAAATAATTTTTAATCTAGCTTCAATAGAGGACACATAAGGACACACTTGAAGTATTTTGTTGAAATTTTACAAAGATACTTCTAAAAAGTCTTTTAAAATGATTTTGTGGATGATCTAAAACACAGTGCAGGAGAGGGGTCAAAATTAGCATGGTCATCATTATACCATATACTGCTGATCATCGCTTTATCTCAATATTATGCAGCATTTCCTATACATATGTTTATTAGCTATATAAAAGTAATTTCCAATAGACAAAGTTGCCAAAAAGGATTTATTTTAGTGCACAGATGAATATCATACTTAAGCAATGCTCTAATCCTTAAATTTTCCTCTGGGTGTGTGTCTGTTTCCCCAGAGGTTTAACTTTGTGTCTCTGCCTACTGACGTCCTTGAGATCGAGGTGAAGGACAAGTTCGCCAAGAGTCGACCGATCATCAAGCGCTTCCTAGGGAAGCTCTCTGTCCCCGTCCAGAGGCTCCTGGAAAAACATGCCATCGGGTAAAACCCACACCCACCTCACACATGTGAACCTTGACTCTGTCATCAGTCCTCATATTATTCTTCTGCTTAATGAGTCCAGCCATCAGACTTGTGGAATTTGTCCCTACATCCACTGACTGAGGCATTTTAGAGGCTGTCGTCACTTTAAATCTCATTTCACCATCTGATAGCTGCGGTTTCATTAGCTCTCAAGTCTTAACTGCGTGTTATTGCTGGTCAGAATCAATATTATCACGGCAACATCTGCATCTTCAATTCTCTTATCTTTGTCCTGTCTCCCTCCGTTTCACCCTTCCTCTCTTTCACTCCATCCGTCTCTGTCTTTCGTCTGCAGGGATCGGGTCGTGAGCTACTCTCTGGGCCGCAGGTTGCCAACAGATCATGTGTGTGGCCAGCTGCAGTTCCGCTTTGAGCTGACCTCCTCCATTCACCCAGGTACCTCAGGCACCGTGACACCCAGCAGCATGAGCAGACATTATCAATCATCAGTTGATATTCACACACTGTTATCTCAAGTCATATCCTAAGTGTTTAAACTTTGAAGCAAACGACTGCACATGGAGGTATCATTTTTTCTCACGCTGCATGTTGTTATCTTCTGAAGTATCTGATGGCAGGTAATATAATCTCAGTTGACCATATCGGTGTGATCATGCAGCGTAAACCGGATAAGATGTCAGGTTTCCCTTTTTTCGTCTGTCAGCTGTTGCCAGCAGGAGACTGTATCAGCTGCCTGTAGAAAAATAACATTCAACCTCCATTATGCAAATGTAGTGTTCAGATCTTACTTTAATCTTGCAGTTTCAGATATCTCGAACATTACAAAGGATTTTCAACAAGTAGATGTGATGCTTCATATTATGTATATATTATATGTAAGGCATGTCAGACCGTTTGTTTTAACGAATAATAAGAGTGATATTTATGATTGGTGAACATGAATGTAAACATGTTGGGCCTTTCCTCAGATGAGGACTCCCTGGTCATAGAGTCAGCCTGTCCTGAGGGGGAGAGTCCAGAAGATGCCAACCATGCTGCTGAGGCACCTGATGACGACACCCTGAGCGTGGGACCAGACATGCCTGACCTGCCCTTAGATGCCTCTCCTAACCCTGAGACGTCCGCACCTCCAGCCTCCACAGCTGAGGAGTCAACGCCTGAGGAGGTGCAACCTGGTGCTGAGATGGAGATGGAGGCGACCCCAGAGGAGGAGAGCACAGAGAGGCAGGAGCCCCCGTCTACTGAGCCACAGGTGGAACAGGAGGAGGGGGCCTCAGCTCCGCAGCAGGAGGAGAGTAGTGGAGTAGGGGAAAATGAGGGAGGGAAGGAAGACAGGCAGTCGGAGCAAGGAGAGGAGGAGCAGATGGAAGTGTCAGCACCACAGGTGGCGGAGGGAACAGAGGAAGAAAAGGAGGTTGGACAGGAAACTCAGCCAAAACCAGACTGTGACAGTCCTGTAGCAGTAACAACAAATGATGGTTGCACTACTGTTGAGGAGCCCACTGAGGAAACCCAGGACGCTCCTGCAGAGCCAGCAGGCAGTACCCAACAGGACGGGACAGAGGGGGGAGAGAGAAGCTGCACCCCCTGTTCTTGCCAGTCCCTATTCCCAAACTACAACTCCCATGCTCCTACGCGCCGTAAAAACCGCCCCTGCTCCCTCCCGGTGTCAGAGCTGGAGACGGTGATCGCCTCGGCCTGTGGTGAGCCGGAGACGCCGCGATCCCACTACATCCGGATTCACCACCTCCTTCACAGCCTCCCGTCGGCCCAACAGAGAGCTCCTAGCCAGGAGGAGGAGGAGGCCGGGGAGGGAGAGATCACCACTCAAGATACTTCCTCCACATCACCTACGCTGAAAACATCCAAAGACAGAGAGGAGGAGGGGCAGGAAGACGAGGAAGAGGATGATACGACTCAGTCTCCTTCTCAGGTAGAGTCAGACATTTAGAATTTGGCAAAACCCGTCACAACAATTCAGTAACCCCCCACCACAGATCCCTACAGGCTACAGTGGCCTAAAACTGACAATTATTGAGGTCATATTTTTGGAACAGAACCAAACCAGATCAGTGTAAAATAGTTATCTACCTACTAATTCCACAAATGTCTGTCTGTATGTGGAATCATATCTCACAAACTGTTTTTACTTGCCAAAATATTTCCATATAATTTGTTTTTTTGATCACTGCTTTTATATTTCTGAGCTTCTGTTTTTTCCGCTCTATGAGCCTTTAATTAATTAATTTTTTTCAGAGGATACCTTGAAAAATGCATGGGAATCACTTGGTTACTGCAACTTCCAAAAGTAACTTGAAAGTTTTATTGTAGAGCATGTGCTTCAGACCAGCACAATCTGAATGGTGGTGCTAACAGCAAAGTAACTTACGAGAGTGGAAGTAAACTAATTAAAATCAAAATATCCTGTGTATGATGTTACAGTCCAAGTGTTAGGGGTAAAAAACCAAGTAATGTTTGTAATGCATGAAAATAATTAAATCTTCATATGTATATATCTGCAGGTCCCAGAGTGTCCAGGTCCCTGCTGCCGGCGGGCTCTCCCCCGCAGCCTCTCCATCGAACGCCTCTCTGAGCTTAACCAGCTCCTGGAGGGTGAAGGAGGCCACCCAGCCATCAGGAGGATCTCTCCTTCCTGTTTAGAGAGCGAGGAGGGGGACTCTAGTAATGGAGGAGGAGGTAGAAGAGTCGGCGGGAGCACCCACAGACCTCCGAATGAAAACGAGTGCGAGTTTTGCGACACTTCCTGCTACAGTACGTCCTGCTACAGCACTTCCTGTTACAGTACGTCCTGCTACAGCAACTCAGGCTATGAGGGGAGGAGCCGCTTCTGCAGCCACACCCGCCTGTCATCAGTGGACAGCAACAGGCTCTCCAGCAGCACTGTGTTCTCCTCGCAGGATGAAGATGATGATGAAGAGAGCGCCTTCGAGTCAGTACCTGATACGGGCAATGCACCTGAGGGCCAGGAGGCGGGCGGGGCAGGAGGCCAGAGGAGGTGTAAGGAGGCCAGAAGGGGAGAGCAGGTGGAACCAGCTGTGGCCGGGCCAAGCGACAGAAACAGCATTGGTGAGTAAAAACCTGACTTTCTCATTGGTTGTCTGCTGGAGTCTCAGCTTAATTGTGCATTGGAATACATTTATATTGTTTAGTTAAATGCATGTCGAAACAACAGTTTGGTAGCTGTAATGCTTTTATTTTGAAGCACTGGAGTCATAATGTGCTGTGATAGTGACAGTAGTGTAAGTACACTGAACACAAGAGTAAATCTTCCTCTGGATGAAACCCTCATCATTAGTACCTCCCGATACACAGCAGCATTAAAATGTACTGCCATGAATTTACGATCAGAGACATTATGATGAATGTAGTGGAAGTGAAAGTAATAGATATAAAGAAGTTCAGAGGTCAGGCAGACAACACAAAGCCTTCCTGCGGGAGTAGGGGCTAATTGTAGGAACACATGGCTAGGTTGTCACAGAAGGTGCTTGGTGGTGTGTCGTTGTAAAGCTTTTACTCGCTGTTTCCATCTCAAGGTCGCCTCAGAAAAAATGTGTTAAAATGGTACAAACATTCATTTGGAGTCAAGGGTGAATTCATTAGATTTTGGATGTCAAAGGTTAAGGTACCTGCGACCCCACAAAGCACAATTTGACTTGAAGCTGGTTGCAAACTATTAATGGAATTTCAGTAATATTTGCACAAACTGTATGTTCTTGTTACATCTGAAATCTTCCCTTGATAAGTCCAGAAGAAACAACAATTGAAGATTGTTCCCACCTTTGTGTTTATCCAGTGCATAGTACCTGCAGTTTGTCTGACTGTTTTCATTTCACTGGATACCTCTTCATGTTTTGTACCGTATTTTACATGACGGCTGTTAAAGATACAAAAGTAGGTCACATACACACACAGAAAAATGAAATGCCCTCTCCTGTGAAATGTAATCAGCATACTGTTAGACTCCCTGCCACGTTTATTCTTTCAAATGCTTCTCATTTCTCTTTACCCTCCCGTTTCCTACAGAACACAACAGCACATACTGCACCTCAAAATTATTATTTATATTGAAAATAAAATCCAATGCTTATTCGAAGAATCTCTGCATGTTTTTAGCTGGTTTTGCACTTCAGTGAAAAATCAAACCTGTTCCTGTTACTGGTATTAATCGCTCTTATTTTTGGCATTTTCAGAAATCAATTTGTTCCAGCCTCATTCTTTGAGAGCTTGATTCAATCTAATTGTTTCTCTAGACCTTAGACCACATACAGAAATGATGCACACACACACACACACACACACAGGCACTGCTATGTATTGCATGCTAAGTGTGAAATACTAGCTGCTGTGCTGAGTTTTTGTCGTGCTGACCCGATTTGTTTTCGCATCATCACTGGAAATTATTTTTGGTGTAGGAGTTAGGAAGTGGGTCTTCTGCCTCCTCTAACAGGAGATAAACATGGTGGGATGGAGGACCAACATTCAGCAGAATAAACTGGGAGGTGTGTGAGTGAAGCTGTGACAACTGCTGAGTTGTAGCTATTTAGAGATATGTGCAGAGTATGCAAAACCCAAAAGCAGAGGCTGATACAGGTGAGTAGGTAATTAAAGAGTTTACTGCTCAACATAAAGCAAAGAAGAGCAGGCAGTGGAGGCAGAGAGCAGGCTGTTTGGTAGAGTCCCAGTGTCGGAACGAGGGCCGAGCACATGGAAAAACAAACTGCACTGCAGAGATACAATGTAAGGAAACAAGCAGCGAAAAACACAGATAAGGTACTTAAAAAAAAAACAAGAACACTGAAGAGTCACAAAGAATAAAACACACAGCAACTACCGAATCATACAGAACAATCTGGCAGAGGAGTGAAGACCAGGCTTTTATAGGCAGGTCGACGAGCTGAGTGGAAGCAGGTGTACCTTGTCTGCTGCAGGAGAAGCTGGCCACGCCCCCTGCCACACACATGCCCTGCAGGAGAAAGAACTAATTCAAAAAAAAAGAATCATCACAGAACACAAAACACAGAATCATCATAAAAGAAACATGACTTAAATCTATCTTTGGACCTTAGTTCATTCAGGGACATTGTTGTATATTTTATTTTGGAGAGAAAGGGCAAAGTCCTGATAAAATCTACTTCTGACCCATTTAAACATTTTTAGAATACATTCAATTCTTGTTTGTTGCAAATATTGTTGATTTCAAAGGTTCATCTACTGGATAGAAGATATGTCCAAGAAACTTAACTAAACTAAACTTAAGTTAACCTGTTGACAAATTAACCAGTCAGCTACATCAAGCTGTTCAACTCCAGACCACGAGGCAGCAGTAAGTAGAAGACAATATTAACAATATTAATATTAAAACTACGATTACACAATATAAAACTGGAAATATTTCTTATTCAAAAGTAAGGTATCTTTCATGCTGCATGCCCTTCCTGAAAGATTCCTGTACTTTAGAACAACACTTACCCCGGAGCAGGGACTTTTGACAACATCAGAGAGTATTCTGGAAAAGTTGGAAGTTAGCAGAACATCTCTGGTTGTCGATAGCGTTATTTATGGTGACTTTTTTGACTCAGTAATATGATCGTGTTTCTGCTTTGGCAATTTCCACCCAGTGGAGTCAAGCTTCCTCATTAATGTGATAGCAATGTATGGATTACCAAGCTGACTGCAGCGGATCTTACCTTATCTCCATCTCAGTGCATGTTCTGTTTATCTCCACTTTGCATCAGCACACATTTCTCCTCAACTGGAACACATATTCAGTCGCAAATTGTGTTTTAAAAGCAGACAGAAGCGCTGTCAGAGATTAACTACGAAGAGACCAATAAAAGTGCACCTCACAGTGAGTCAAGTATCGTGTAATGTACTGGGAGACACTTAATCACCTTAATTACCGAATTACCAACCTCATCACTAGACGATGATGAAATGTCGCATTTAAACAATTCTTCAACATAAATCCTCAACTCAACGGAGACACAGAAAAACTACTCTGAAACGTATCACTAAGTTATTTTTTATTGTTAAGGTCTCAGACTGAAGAATCACAAACCAACAGGATTGCTTCAAACTATTCTTTAAATGTATGTGTACAGATTGTGGTGAGATTTGTGAATAGGCTTAACCAAATAAAAACATTTGAATGAACTTGTGCAAATGTTTCATTATGTTATTGTGTTGTCTTCCTGCTTTGGCGCAGCAAGACCCATCTCATTCATCCCATTCATTCCTTGCAAACTACATGATACTAGGTGCATGTACAGTTTGGCTGTTGTAGCTGTGATAGTGTCTCCCTTAAGGATAGAAAAAAAAACATTATGTAATTCAATATAATACTTTGCGTATTTAACAGACAAACAGCTGTATGCTCTGCTGAGGAGTTGGTGGAGACCAAACCAGAGCTAAAAGTAAAGTGATTAATAGACTTATGAAAAGTTAATGGTAATAACTGGATGCATAAATAGGAAAACATTGCTAAAACATGTTTACAGTTAATTCCACTGCCTCTAGTGGAGAAAAATCAATTAAGTCTACTTTGAGTTTTGGGACAAATTTGGAAATTATGTCAAATAGAAAATTGGGAAATTTTGCATTAAGTGTACAATGAGTCTTTTCCCAGTTTGTGAGGGGGTACAGCGTATCCCAAGCTTCATGGTCATTTATCCCACACTGTCTCTCTGATGTCCCGTAGGCTCAGACTTCTCCCCTCCTGTCGGCCATCTTCCAGTCCTGCGACCCAGCCATGACCTTAACCATTATCCTGCTGCCACTGATCAAGCCTTACCTCCAAGTAAGAACCAACAGCTCCCAGTCTTACTCTGGAGTCTCATCCCAACACCTTGGTTTGCTGTGACTGTGGCTCATTGTGTGTGCATGCTGCCATGAACCTTTACTTTCCTGATATATTCCACCTCCTCCTTGTTTGCCATCGTCATCCCTTCTTTGCATATTCCTGTAGTGTGAGATGTAACGCCCGGGCCACACCCCGGATGCAGAACATCTTGCTTTTCATTCAGGTGCCCATGTTTCCACGCAGCAGACTAACTCCCTATGTTAATAACAGATGTGCACAAGACACAGCACATCAGCAACGCTGCCGTCACACGCTGCACATGCACCTGATGTGGCCCCGGGCGTGGTACTGCTCTTTGCTGCTTGGTTCATGGTTAGATTCGCACTCAGTATTCAATGGATGCAGGAATCACTAGTTCTCATTTATTCAGGCCCAAACTCCACTTAGCTTTTATGGCATCCAACTGAGAATCCCTGAACAGTTTCCTTCTCTAAAACTCATTTTTGTGATTTATAGTGTGGACGCTGTCTGGTTCTTTAAATAAAGCTGTTGTATAAAGTATTACTCAGCATTATTGAGTCATTTATCAGTGTTTTTCCGAACAGAGGACCTGCAAAGCTAGGCTAAATAGGTCCTGACTCAGCGGTGTTGTAACATTCATGAAAAGTGGTATCCCTCCTCCCTTCTCATTCTTAGAAATAAAACAAATGAGTGTGTTTCCAAACTGTTTAAATCACGATCAGAGACACCTGCATGTGTCACTAATGAGTGTTCAAATGCTTGCTTTTCAACCATACCAATCCAAATTCTTTAAACTTGGCTTTTTGGAATACAGAGTCTGGTTTGATACTTACATTTGTAGATGAAATGTGTATCGGACTCACTGACATTACAAATGTATACTACTGAACTTGGCAAACCTTATTTTTCAGGAGGAAAACCCTAACCTTAACCTGGATCCACGTTAAAATCCTTAATTACAGATATTATTGAGTTTATGTTGAAGTGGGAGATGGATGTTGATACCTGATTTGATGCAGATGTACCACTGGGTCTGGAGTTCCTGGAACTACAGAAACTCAGCGATGGATACGCAAACGGCAATTTTAGACACTGCCAGCAGAAATCATACTAATCAGACAACACGCATGGTTATTTTTATTGTCACATGATTTTCAGTATAATGTGTTTGTCTGGTGAAACTGACACATGCTGGCTTAAGAAGCTAACCTGTGACTTCCATGATTTGGAAACTCAATGAGAAACAAACAACCCATTGAGGTGTCAGCCCCCCCCCTAGACATTCAGTATTGAAAGGATCAGAAATCACAGTCAATCAAATCTGCACATATTTTGTGAGATGTTATTTTTTCATTTGTGTTGAGCTGGATTATGAAAAAACTACTTCACCGATTTCCATGAGATTTTATGGAGGGGTGACGCATAACCCAAGGAGGAACGGATTGCATTCTGGTGTGGATCTGGATCAGGGGGCAGATCCAGGATTTCTTTTTCATTTCATTTTTTTGTTAGTGTACATTTCCGTGGTTGTGTGTACAGCGTTTACATTTCCGCTGATTTCTCAAGGGAATAATTCATGAATCTTGATTAAACAAATCTGGCATATTGAGGAGACTGATACTTATGAGTATGAAAATCCATCTTGTGAATTTAAACGTGGTTTCATATGGGGACTTTTGGGCCTTAGCAGAGGTATGTTTGACTCAGTTACAATTCACACAGATACCATCACCTCTGATCTGCTTAGAAATCATACAACAAAGATGCTGAAATTCCAGAACTTCAGTTTTCTTCAGTATCACAGTGATTCAGTGATATTTGAAAACAGGAATATAAACTAACCTATTCTCTCTTACTGTTGCCTGTTTCCTAAAGATATAAAAAAATAAAGGAACACAATTTAAGAAATAGAGCTCAATGTGTATTCCACTGTAACACAAGCCCCAAATTGTCTACTCCAGAATATAACCAGTGTGAAGTTCATTCCTCCTCAGCGTCAGTGTGTGGAGGCCAGTCGCAGTATGATTTAGTCAAGTACTCTCCAGCAGGGGAACGTTCAGGCACCTGACACCATGGATTGGACCCACTCATTACACATAGAGGCACGACAGCACTTCATTTACATGTAGTGACACTCAGCAGTATTTTGTGCAAAGCCTACATCCTGATCACAGTCGGATTTGTGTAGAAACTAAGAGAACATGTGAGTGTCAGTGTTAAATCACACTTAGAACCTGATGCATGTCACCGTCAGCCTGAGGAAATAGAGGAGGACCAAAACGCTGTGTGTGTGTGTGTGTGTGTGTGTAAAAGCTGCTCAGGTCCTTGTCTCGCACATGAACTCTGTGGTCATTAACAAGCCAATGGACAAACTCAATGTGGCACATCAGACAGCCACAACAACAACAACAAAAGCTTTTCAGTTTCAGGAATCAAACATTGACACAGGTTATAAAAGGTACAGTTTGTCATTTCAGCGTTGTCCTTAGAATTCTTCATGAATCAACTGTAATGAAAGAGTGGTTCTTGTAAAATATCCAGAGAGCTGAGAACAACTACAGAGGTGACTCTCTGTGGATTCATCATTACAATGTTGTTTTGGTTTTACAACAACTCAATACCGTTGGTGTCCATCAGCAGCAACAGCCGGATGTAAAAAAATATATACTTATATTATATTATAATAGACAGACTAAGTTAGACAGTACATGGTCTAAAGCACTTAACACAAGTGCATTTAGTTCATATTACTGCAAATTATTCAGCAATTTGCTGAAAGGCTGAGTCATCCATCTGTTTTTGATTTGATGTCATACAACATGCAGTGTGTTTCTAAAAATAATTAAAAAAGACAATTCTTTGTTTTGTTAAGAGGTGCCTTCAGATCGTGTGGTTTCTACAGGTTTGAGGAAATTAAACTACAAACCAATGTGTTTCTAACCAGGTAATGTCACCCTTTGATTAAAACCACCAGGTTCAACTGAGATGTGGAGCTTCTCTTCATTTGTCATATGGGTTAATGATATTTATAAGGAGTTTTGTTTTTATCTAATTGATTTGAGATGCGCCACGTTCTTAACAGTGACACAGAAATAACTCTGTTAACAACTCCTCACCCTCTCTGCTGCCACAGACTGGGAAGCTCGCATCGACAGCCACGGCAGAGTTTTCTACGTGGACCACGTCAACCGCACGACAACCTGGCAGAGGCCGAGCAACAGCGGCAAGTGTAACCACGGCATCCCTCGCTCAGGGTCCACCCAGCAGATGGAGCAACTCAACAGGAGGTCAGACTCAGAGGAGAGAGAGAGAGAGAGAGAGAGAGAGAGGCTGCTTTTGTAAAGTCAAAATAATCAACTTTCCTAACCACTATTTCTTAACCCAAGGTCAAGGAAAGATGTGAAGCAGAAGACTAAGGGAGTTAGGAAAGGAGAAGAAAATCTGGTTTCGCTTCCACTCTTATCATGTTACAGAGAGAAGCAAATGGATTTAGAGTAATAACAAGAACATCTCATGAAATAAAAGATAAAATGATCCTTCATCATCATAAAACTCAATTTGACAACGATAAAAAAAATATGTTGGGCTACATCGCATCTTAAAATGATTGTTATTTTATCGCAGGATTGAGAAGTAGTAATGGTGGCAACAATAAGCTGCTGTAAAAAAAACACCATTAATGCTATAATCTTCTATACATGTTGAATGTTTAATTTCAGTGTCATGTATAGAAATAATTACACTACACACTGTAACAAGAAAACCCACCTTAATAGTAAATACCAGAAAATGTCTCATTGATATAAAGTTCAATGTTGATCAGGAAGTGTTGTCTGACGGAAGAGACAAATACAGGTCCTGTAGTGGTGTTAGGCTGACATCTTGTGACTGAAGATGGAACTACAACAAACAGCCTTTGTGTAACTTCATGTGGAAATAAGTGCAAAGCAAGGCAAAAAAAAAAAAGTGCTGGAAAAATATGCAATAGATCAACCTCAAATGAAATGTTAAAGGTGCAGAAACACTTTTAGAACTCAGCAGTGGCTCCAAAGCTAAATACATTTCCTCCTCATGACTATGCAGGTACCAGAACATCGAGAGGACGATGGCCACAGAGGAGGAGGGAGGCAGTCAGAGGTTAGAGAGGAGCGGCAGCACCGAGACTGATTCTGACTCTCCTCAGACAGGTACACGACTGATCCTCCTCACATGTTAAAGTCACGTGGTCCGAACGCAACATGCCAACTGCACCGACAGATCATTTGTGGAACCGTTGAATTGTTTTGAGTATATATATAGATAATTAATGATAAATCAGTACATGTGTATACTGTAAAATGTGAAATACTGCTGTCTGTGTGTATGTCTGTCTGTAGGCCCTGCCTCCCCTGTCAATCACCAGAAGATCAGCCACCTCCTCCAATCACCTGCTGTCAAGTTCATCACACACCCAGAATTCTTCACTATGCTGCATAGTAACTATGTGAGTAGTAAACACACACACAAACATTCTTGCATTCTATCTTATTGAGGACACTCACCCTAACCCTAACCTCAAACGCAGCCTCAAATAGTCCTATATGGTTTGTCACTGAAGTGCAATGAATCCTGGGATATGTCAGCCTGTGACGTATCCACCCAATGGACGTTTGTTTCTCGGATGCAGTTGTCGGCCGCATTTGGAGACAGTTTAGTTTAGATTCATATTAGTTGTATCCTTTAATCTAAATTTATTTATTTTGTATTTATTTTTTTAATTATTATTTTATGTAAAAGTTGCTGTTCGGGAGACATTTGTGATTCTCATATGTCATAGCATCAAACATGAATCTAAGTGGAAGAGTCTGTAAACACCAAATACAATCCTGTGTCATATTATAACTATTGGAACATATATATATGCTTTAAGTTCTTTAAAGCTTGACAAGAACACACAACATATACAAGACAAAAGAAGATAAAGCTCTATTTAACACAATTCTGCAATTGTTGTTGTTATACCTCAATTGGGCATGTTTCTGTTTCTGTTAGTTGTTTAAGTTCTGTTTAATCTTGTACCAAACGAGAGTGTAATAAACAGTCAGTTAAGTTGTGTATTCAGTTTAACATTAAGGAAACATTCTGGGGTAGATACACCATCTTTCCAAGTAAATCTTACAAAGTAATCGGTTTTCCAGGCAGCCTACAGGATGTTCACCAGCAGCAGCTGCGTAAAACACATGATCCTGAAGGTGCGCCGCGATGCCAGGAACTTTGAGCGTTACCAACACAACCGGGACCTGGTGGTTTTCCTCAACAAGTTCGCAGACATGCAGATGGAGCTGCCGAGGGGCTGGGAGATCAAGACCGACCCCCAGGGCAAGGTATCACATCACACACATGTAGAAGACGTTTGGATTGATCCACAGGAGGGGATGGATGTTGAAATTACAGACCACAATATGAATCCAGCAACATGCTCTCTCAAATGTAATGTACTAGTGATGGTCTGTTATATTAGAGGATAATGTTGTAGTTTTTGGGTTGTCCTTTTCTCCTTGTCGTCAGATAATCATTTGAATATGGAGAAGTAATTTGATTCAATATTTCACTTTACATACTGTAATAATATCATTCCAATGCATACTTTTTCCCCCGGCTCCTCAGTCTTTCTTTGTGGACCACAACAGTCGAGCAACGACCTTCATCGACCCTCGGATCCCTCTGCAGAACGGCCGGCTGCCGGGCCACCTCGCCCACAGGCAGCACCTACAGAGACTACGCAGCTACAGCGCAGGGGAGGTACGTACACACCAACTTCATACAGTCTGTCTATGTCCTGTCCGGTCCTGTGTTAAAGAGCAGCACTGTTCAAGTAGTCGGAGATAAAGCTTGAAATTATGTTGGGAAAATGTTTGCTCGTGAACCTTTTACTGCACCTTTGTGATTATGATGGTATATCTTTAGGGTTGTTGCTGTTCTATAATCATTCGATAATTTCTTCCCCATCTTCCCGAAGCTCTCTCTGACTCTCCGCTCCACTCTGGCTTTTTCTAGTCTCCAATGAAAGCTTACTCAGTATTAACAATGGGTAATATTAACAATGTTCTCAAACCCTGCCATCCAGGGAGGATTTACTTGCAGGACTAAAGTGTAGCAAGCTGGCAGATTGTTGCAGGTGTAAGAACTTGTAGCGGAGCCAGAGAAGCACCAGTGCTAATGCGCTCCATGTTTCTAAAGATAGTGTAAGGGGAGCAATTATGTTCAGAGTGGGACCAATGATTTATGGTTCGCAAAAAACACACCTGAACTCAAAAATGACAAATATTATTAAACGGTTTAACTCCACAATTTAGTACAACACACTTCACAGTTTTTTCACATGTTTTTTTTACATAGCAATTGCTTTCTGTATAATGGATCAAGGTCCTTTACACAGGCTTTAGTCCTGCTACTGATAGTCGTATACATAGGCTTGAGCGGGTAGATGTTGAAAGCTGCTCGGCTCTGCGGGGTCATCAGCATGATGTTAATAATAATAGTTATCCCTGGATATTTCCTTGTGCAGAGCACCTCATATAAAAAAGACGTTCCTCAAAACTCACTTGAGAATCATATTGTTATATATATAAGTTTTCTGCTCCAGTAATCCAGCATGTTTAATTGCACCAGTTTGTCAAAAAAAAAACCTTAAACATAAACTTTCTGTTAACATCCCCAAACATCATTGGGGGGGTAGAGGAGAGGTGGTGTACTCTGTGACTCTCTTTGACATCTTCTGTTCCCTGTTCCTGTTTGTCCTCAGGCCTCTGATGTGTCCAGGAGTCGGGTGGCTTCTCTGATGGCCCGGCCAGGAAACAGTCTGGTAGCCGCCATAAGAAGCCAGCATCACACTCACTCACAACCAAGTAGGCACTGTCATAACACGCCCTGTTTACTCTGGATCATTGTAACTATTCTTCCTGAGGACTTTTTATGTTCAGGCTGTGCTAACGTCTCTGTCTCTCTCTCTCGCTTCTCAGCTTACAATGACAAGATCGTTGCATTCCTCCGACAGCCGAACATTTTTGACATGTTGCAGGAGCGACAGCCCAGCCTGAGCAGAAACCACGCACTGAGGTAAGAGCTGATTGAAAAATAATGACATGGACCTGTCTGAATAACCAACACTTGAGGAAACAACAGGGTCATATCGCACACACACCACTCTGACTGCCCTGTTTGTGTGGAGGTGACCGGCTGATCCTGATATGGAAAGGAGTTCGGTTCGTTTGGTCCAAATAAAGGAAATAATTATCCATTATTACCTTTTAGCTATATTCCATTTCTTTTTCACTTTTTGGTGAATACAGTTTCTTATCATATGCACTGACATGATGTTATTGGAAAGTTTTTGGCGATATTAGCCTGATTTTCCAATCGCCAACAAAAGCCCCAGATCGGAGCCAAACCAGTATTTGATTGGCAGTTGCCAATCGTCATGTGTGAACTCTTTAAAGATGTGATTTGAGAGGCTCACCTCCTTAGACCAGATTTCTTGCAGGCTGATTAGATTAGATTCAACTTTATTGTGATGGCACATGTCACAAGTACAAAGCAATGAAATGCAGTTTGCATCCAGCCAGAAGTGCTTGAACATTGAATAAATATATGTTACAGTAGGTTTATACATACAGATATATATATATATATATATATATATATATATATATATATATATATATATATATATATATATATGTATGTATAAAGACAAATCTGCTACAACTACAGAGCAGAGGTGAGGGTGAATCTTTGAAGACCGGACATTATAGTCTGACCGATAGTCAGGTAAGTCATGTAGCGTGAATGTGGCCTCATAAAATACTCTCTGTCTAGTTTAAGACCTTTTCAGACCTGTACTTAGTTTGCTGTGGTCTAAATCAGGTGAGGAGTTAGCTTGATTTTTTCCTTTTTGAAAAGAAGCTTGATTTTTTCCTTTTTGAAAAGAAACAAACTCAGAAAAATGGAAAAAAGTTAACAGGAAGGCATCACTTCACTCATGAATAGACTGTTCACGCACATTCAGACCTTAAGGTTTCCCAGAACAACTGCAGTTTTGTCTGGTCGTCACTGGAGCAAATTTCCTGTCTGGTTTTTCCTGCCAGTCCAGGATCAAAGCACACAGTCTTCACACAGCCTCTCTAACCTTTGGTCAGTGCTGCCCACAGAATAAATAAAAACACATAGGTCACTGAGTTTCATTTTTCCAAAATACTGTTACAAATCAAATGTGCCAGGCTTGAAGGATTATGCTGCATTGATGTCATGGAAGAATAATGGTCAGTTTGCTTTGACAGTTCACACTACTGGAGATAAAGACTGCGAGGATGATTAAACCTTCATTGATGTGATTTTACATCATGAATTCACTTTTTATTTACTTCCATGAGTATGGTTACATCAAAAAGTCAGAGAGTGTGGGTCGCAGCACCTCAAATATTGAACAAGAAGAACGTGAGATTAAATTGGACTCTTGTTTTGTGGATTGTTCAGGGAGAAGATCCACTACATTCGGACAGAGGGGACCCAGGGGGTGGAGAAGCTGTCATGTGATGCAGACCTGGTCATTCTGTTGAGGTAAAGAACCTCATTGATGTCAAGTTAAAGCAGTATCAACCTAACATCTTGTTTCTTCACTGTAGTAGCCTCACAAATGACTGAAATATCACCTACAACTTACGCTCGGACTCTATGTGCTGTCTTATCTGCTTCTCTGTCTGTTGTTTGAACAGTTTGTTTGAAGAGGAAATCATGTCCTATGTTCCACCTCACCCCATCCACCCCAGCTTCAGCTTCTCTCCTCGCTGTTCTCCTGCCTCCTCACCACAGAACTCTCCCGGTAGGTGGCCACTTACAAATGTCTCCAGTTCACAGGTGTCAAGCACATACTTAGTTTTGATGATATTTTCACTATTGACTGGTATGATTGTAAAACAGGCTGTAGACTTTACTGCAGTCAGTCTTATAAATGTCTTTAAAAGGCTTAAATTCTAGTTAGCGAACTACAGTAAATAAGTATAAATAAGTATAAGTAAATGGCACAAATGTGTTTTTACACACACACACACACACACAGAAACCCCACAATAACAATCACTGCTGTTTGACCGAGCGTGCTGTGCTGTGTGAGAGTCCAATTATGTTATAATGAGCTCCACTATTGGGCCACAAGTGTGTGTTTATGTGTGTGTGCCTGTATCTGTGTGTTTGTGTATATTCCATTGATGGAAGGTTCTATAAAGGGAAACTGGGTCACAGCAGGGAATCCTGGCTCGTAATTGTGCTTCATTCGTTAGTTGTATATGGTCTCTGTGGAAACGTGACCTGGAAACAGAGTGATAGGTGTTGAGCTGAACTGCTCCATATCAATCAGTCTCACTGGGAGAAAGATCCATCATAGGGTCAGTCCATTTCATATTGAATTTTGAAATACGTGGCAGTGTAAAGATCCAGACCAGGCTTAAAACCTTTAACCCGTCACCATGACTACATGATCAGGAGTAACCCTTGGATGGTTTGCGCCACAATTTATATTAGACTGATGCTACAATTACTTGAAATAGGAAGAGTGGTGCCACTTTCATTCCCACTACTTCTTTGATAAAAATTGAAGGTACAGTGTGTAGAATTATGTGATATCTAGAGTTGAAATCACATGTTGCAGCTGAACACCCCTCACCTCACCCTCTCCTTCCAAACATGATAAAGAACCAGTGGTAGACTCTAATTGTCATAAAAACTCAAAAGGTGTTTAGTTTGTCCAGTTTGGACTAATGTAAAAAACAGGGCGGCCTCTGTAGAGAGGGTCCCCTCGATGTAAATATAAAGTATTTAAATATAAAGGTCCTTTTCTGGTGTAAAGAAAACTACAATTCATACAATTTAGATGAAACAAACTAGTGAAAACATCATGAGGATTATTCTACATTACATTCCTGCCAATAGTTCCCTTCCACTTAAATCTTACACACTGGACCTTTAAGACAATGCTGTCCTTATGCAAAACAAATTGATTGAGTCTCGATCTGAGGGTCTGTCTTCTATGTTAGAGTGAGATAATCCAGGGTTTTATCAGGTGTTTATATGATTTGTGTATTTCTGCTCACACTGATCTATGTGTACAGTGATTATTCCAATTTGAATCAACAGTTGATCTGTACATTTTTTTAACTGCCTGATGTCCACTGGGTGTCAGGACTCACTCTGCTGCAGTTGCTGTACACAGAGCAAAGTCAGCTTATTGTTTGCCACTAAAACCTTGTGATGAAGTATGGCATCATTAAAAAGAAAAAAAAGTTAATATTAAGTTATTTTTATATATTTACAGTGGTCAAAATCTATTGTTTTTGTATGTGTGTATTCAGCTCTTTACATCTGTATTCATTAAATATTCAGCACATTGAAGCTTTATCATTTCTACCTCCAATATTTTACATTAGTAATATTATCATAAGTCAAGTTATATTAATATAGATGTTGTATCAATTAATGAAATCTTTTAAATCTGTGTGTGTGTGTGTTCAGGCTTACAGAGGGCCAGGGCTCCAGCTCCGTACCGCAGAGACTTTGAAGCCAAACTGAGAAACTTCTACCGGAAATTAGAAGCAAAGGGCTACGGCCAAGGACCAGGCAAAATTAAGTAAGTCTGGTTGTAAATCACACAGATGAAAGAAGTTATTACACCATCAAAATAAAGCTGAATAACTGACAATCATAGTACTGCTTTATCATGTACTCCCATTAAACTATAACACTTGCAGCGGACGTCAAGATCTGATTAATGAAATTAGAAAAAAATCTTTCTCCTTTGACAGTGATTTTATGATCACCATAATCTGCTTCCAAATAGCAATATATATCACAATCATCCACATCCACATTCTGTATATCTATAAAACACTTTCCTGGCTCTGTAGAAATGGAATTTAAACATAAAGTACATGATAGAATTTATAAATGCAATAGTTAAATAATTAGAAATTAACAATCCAACTTATTGAAAGATTTTAGGGACATATTTTTGAAGTGGTTATATTGTGCAGTGTTTTTAAAGTACATGTAGTTCTTGTGTGATGTGTGGCCTGTTGGGGTTGTTGCAGGTTGCTGATCAGGAGAGAACACCTACTGGAAGGGACCTTTAACCAGGTGATGGCGTACTCCCGGAAAGAGCTGCAGCGGAACAAGCTCTATGTCACCTTCCTGGGGGAGGAGGGGTGAGGCACACACGTACACATGACCAGTGATGGAACAGCTAAACGTGTTGCGCTGCTGTCAGTTACGTGGTGACAAGCCCACATTTTTGGCGATGTTGCAGGTATTATAGCTGTTTTCAGACATGCACTCTGGAGAATGTGTGCAGAATTAGGTCTGGACTTTCTCTGGAGGTGGATCCTGCGGTGGATGTCCTGCTGTTTCCTCACGTCGACTCCTTTGGACATTCTCCAGAAAAAATATTCTTGAATGTGAATTACTATAGTTTTGTCGTTCATTTTGTTCTTCAGTGTTTAGCCAAAGTATACTCTCGGTGAGGTGTAAAACATAATGAAACAGTGGCGTTTTTTTAATAAAGCAAAAACACGGCTATGCTATCAGTGTCATGTCTAAATGTACTATGAACTAAATATATATAAATGCCTCCTCCTTTCTTCCCACCTCTCCAGGTTAGATTACAGCGGCCCATCCAGAGAGTTCTTCTTCCTCTTGTCTCAGGAGCTGTTTAATCCGTACTACGGCCTGTTTGAATACTCAGCCAACGACACTTACACTGTTCAGATCAGCCCCATGTCGGCGTTCGTAGAGAACCATCTGGAATGGTGAGCAGTCAAGTACACACACACACAAACACACACACACAGTTATCTATGGCCAGTGTTCTATGAAACAATACAATTATTCTACCAGTTTACTAATAAGGAAACATGTGACTGAAATGTCACAAATGTTCCCGATTTTCATCTGTGGTGATAGAAGTATATATTTTTAATGTTTCATGGTTAAGTTATGGTTTCACTGTTTGATGATTTTAATGGATGATGCAACTGTTCTCCTTGACCTGTGAGAGAGAAATGTTTGGAAGTGTGATGGATTATAACCGTTGTATATCCTCACACATTACTGTATATGCCCCTATACTGTATTATGTATATATAGTGTATATTTCATTATATCTGTACACCATTAAGAGAAGAGTGCCTGGCTAATTCCACAGATACTCCCTTCTCTCTCTAAGCTGTACCCAAGGTCAGGTTATAGATAAAGGACCAACCAACAGAACATTGTAGTGTCTACGCTTAGAGACTTTCATATCTACCTCAGATTCCTCAGACAGACAGAGAGGCACCAGCTTCAACTCTTTTGTGTATTACACCAGTGGCAACACGTAAGGACACAATGTGATTAAGGAATGCATATTTAGACTTAACCATCCAATAGGATGTGAACACCTGCATGTTGCATAGAGAGTGACAGCAGATGCTGTGGGAGACATCTTCAGACTTGAAGGTGACAATTGCTCATGTAACTCTGTTAGAGTTTGTATGTTGTTTCACCTTCTGGTCCTTGATGCATCAAGTCTACATTCAAATCTTCTGCATAAGACATCAGCTGCTGCCTGAGTTCTCCTTTCACCAGCTTCCAGAAAACTTCCGTAACAACCGTCATGTGGCACATTACTGATTGCATTCACATTTCCATGTGTGTCTGCGTGTGTGTGTGTGTCCAGGTTCCGTTTCAGCGGTCGTATCCTGGGCCTGGCTTTGATTCATCAGTACCTGCTGGATGCTTTCTTCACCAGACCTTTCTACAAGGCCCTACTCAGACTGTTAGTACCCCCACAACACACACACACACACACACTCCCACACACTCCCACACACACAATACAGCATTTTTCCATCATCTACTTATTCACTTAGGTAAGATCAATATGAGAAAATGTAAAAAAGGGTAGAGCATTCACATGAGAAATCATCAGAAAATACAGTGCTTGGATAGAGTTGTAAAGTAAGATGAATGTTTTCAGCATCCAGTGAATAAATATAGCATTCGTAAGTACTATAGCTCAAGATAAAGATTTTACTTTCTTTGAAAAGGTAGAGGCCTATTTAGGGTTAATTTTAGTAAGAGTCATGCAATCACAGAGGTTAAACTTCTATTACTTTAACTTGGTAATAGATTACACTTTAATCTCGGAGTGAGAAAAATGATTGAACATCTGCAGGTTATTTTGTAAAATCCAGTTGCAAGCTAAAGCTGCCTCTGACTCTCATTTCAGTATTGGCTGAGGATCATGAGTAATGAAGTATTTACATCATAACAATGTCAATGCTAGAAACAGATATCTGAAAAAAGTTGAAATAATACTAATAAAACTTTTAGATCAGGGACCTATTGTATTTTGAATTTATTCAGGACAAACCTGATTTTTTTGTTGGGGAACATTAACAATATCTAAAAAGATGTCAACGTGAATTCGCAGTGGATAGTTCTGTGTCAAATGGCACTGATTTTCAAAATGTAACAATTTGCAAAGTTTCTTTCAGCTAGATTGAACTTCCCACCAGATTGCACAATCTATTATGGATCTTGCCCTTGACTTATTTTGGAGTTACAGCTTGAGCACCAGTACCAGTGTATAAAAAGTAGCTTTGTGTGTCACATGTTTGAGCTGTGTGTGTGTGTGTGTGTGTGTGTGTGTGTGTTGTGTCCTACAGTCCGACAGACTTGTCTGATCTGGAGTATCTGGACGAGGAGTTCCACCAGTCTCTGCAATGGATGAAAGACAACGACATCACCGACATCCTGGACCTCACCTTCACCGTCAACGAGGAAGTTTTTGGCCAGGTGTGTGTGTGAGTGTGGGCGCTTGACACAGCATCAGGTCAAAATCTCCAGTCTGCCCCGTGTGCACGTGATCTGTTCTGCATGTAGCGCTCTCGTTTCTTCATGATGCTCATAGTAGTGTTTTACATGTATTTATCCTGAGATGCAAACTTTCACTATACCACTATAACTCACTCGTCAACTCCACCCCTGCTGTGTTGCTAGGTAACGGAGCGTGAGCTGAAGTCAGGCGGTTCCAACCTGCAGGTGACGGAGAAGAACAAGAAGGATTACATTGAGCGAATGGCCAAGTGGAGAGTGGAGAGAGGGGTGGTGCAGCAGACTGAGGCCCTGGTCAGAGGCTTCTACGAGGTAAACAACTCTCAAACGCCAAGAACCAAAAAAATAAGCCCTGCTGTGTAATATTTTTATTTCACTTAGAACTGTCCTGTGACTATATCATAGCCCACACACACGTGCGCATGAATGCAACCGCACACTGAAACGTGTGCCTGTCTTTGTCCCAGGTGGTTGACTCCAGGCTGGTGTCCGTATTCGATGCACGGGAGCTGGAGCTGGTTATTGCCGGGACAGTTGAGATCGACCTCGGTGATTGGAGAAGCAACACCGAATACAGAGGAGGTGTGTGTGTGTGTGTGTGACGACAGAAACGTTTTTCTATTATTGTTGTGTCACGGAATACTTTTTTCATGGCAAAAGTTTTTCAACACGGATGTAGTCACGAAGTTTGCATGAAAGTAACATAAGCAAGCATGCAGGAGAGTGAGCGTGGCAGAGAATGTTGTGATTCTGAACAACAGGTTGACTTTGACCGGCCAAGACAAAACAAAGACCTTGTAGATGTAGTTAAAAGTGTGACCAGACAACTCCACTCTGAAAATCATGTCACGGACCGGTCCCCACAACAGACCCTGACACCACAAACCTCTTTTACCATGTGCAGAAGAATCATGTCAAACATTACAGCGAGAGTCCACGGTCAGGAGACACGATAGGACGGTCAAGAGCTCAAAACCAACCCCAGACTCAGATGTCGCATGACGTTTCTGCTTGTGACGAGTAAAGAATCTCAAAAACAAAAGGAGCAGTCACAGCTTAACATCTGCAAAGACAGGACCAGAGTTTACATGGTCCCATGGTTTGATTATCACATGACAATATTGTCATCAGTATATGGAATCATACAGCCCTATCAAAGACCCCACACTCATGGTATTAATATACAAATCCATATGTGGACCTAACGGGCTGGCTGCATCTGAATGTGTTCTGGCACTCACTGGATTTGAGTCTCAGCCAGTTGTTGATGCAGTGTTTGGTAAATGGTCTATTTGTGTCGAGCTTTTCTCATCTTGTGCAAAGTGCTTTACAATTTGAGTTATACATTATAGTTAGTGCCATTCACCCATTCACACACACATTCATACTGTATCTATGTGCAGCACTTTCTCTATCACACATCAATCACACACTGCCCAAGGACACTTGCAGAATGGGGTAGACGGGGGGAGAACCGCTGACCTTCTGGTTCATGAGCCCATATCATTAGTTCAACCTTTTGGGAAAAATGCTTACACACCCTTTTCCCCAGAGAAGATCATACTAGTTTTTACTGCTGTACACTGTGTGGTAAATATGAAAATGGAGCCAGCAAGTAGCCATTTAGCTCAGCTTAGCATAAATAATGCGTGCGAAATCAATGCAACATGTACAGGCTCGCTGCTTGCCTCTGTTTTCAGTCTTTATCTTTCACTGTACAGATGTGTAACCCATGTGAATCTTCTCATCTTACTCTCAAAGACCCACAATGTCCTAAAATGTCAAACTATTCTATGAAGAAAAAAAGTCCCCTCATGTTGAGCTCTCTGTCAGCGCTCGAGTAAAGACGTAGTAGTTAAGTGACCCTGTCTCCAGCATACTCTGAACCAAGCTTTACAAAACTGGACCCTGATTTGCAACAACAGCGGCTTAGTTTGAATTGACTTTGTTAAATGTCCGGATTTAATTTTTCCAAACTATTTTGGGGAAATTGTAGTGAGGAGAGCAAATGTTATAAGTAGCATTCATTACAAATGAATAGTTTTGATCATGTACACTACAGTATGCATTGATATGTGTATAGAAATGGGTAGAGTCAATGTAACTTCCTGACCCTAACCAGGTTACCATGATGGTCACATCGTGATGCGCTGGTTCTGGGCCGCCGTGGAGCGCTTCAACAATGAGCAGCGCCTGCGCCTGCTGCAGTTCGTCACGGGGACGTCCAGCGTGCCCTATGAAGGCTTTGCCGCCCTGCGTGGATCCAACGGCCTGCGGCGCTTCTGCATCGAGAAGTGGGGCAAAGTCACGTCACTACCCAGGTATCAAACTTTGGTTCCTACAAAGTAGTGCTCCACGATGTTAGGAAAACTTTGTTGACAACAATATGATTGCAAAAAATTAAACAAATGCTTAAGTAGGCTATATAGTGTTAAAGTTGTCCTGCTTTGGGTTCGCTGCAAACATAGACCCATGCAGTGAGTAGCTTATGCAGACACTGAACGTGGACAGGACAAAACATGATCACTAGCAGTTTCCACTAATCTAGAGGTTTGACAGACAATTCTCTGAATGGAAAAACCCTGGACAAGCCCTCAATGATCTGAATATCTTAAATTCATTAGTTAGGGCAGTAGGGCTCCATCTGATTGGTCAAATATATTGACATGCAGAGCGTGATTGCATGGCACATGGAACACCATGTATCCCAGTTCTTGTGCAATACGTTTATCGTGCATGTCGAATATTGGATGACGGTAAATTTCTGATATATTGTGCAGCCCTACTACAAAGCCATGTTTACACTCTTTTGCCTGATCTCCTCATCTTGTACATCAAACAGGTGCTACAAGCGAAATGTAAGGTACACACACAGCATCAGTTTATTAGGGGCCACATGACGTGGAAATGTTTTGTGTGTCTAAGGAGGAAATATTTTCCTGTTTCGTAAAGGTTTAACCTATTGATATCCAAAGATGTCTTTAGATATGCACTGAACTCAGCTGATCCCCTGGACATGGAGGACATACGCAAATATGAAAAAAAAACTAACTGAACTCTGGACCCAATTCTCTGCACATCCTCCCCACGTCATGTCTGAAAACGGCTCTATATTAGTATATTGTCTATATTAACAAAGAATCCAACAATGAACTGACCCAATGTTGTCTAAAATGCATGAAAAGGACATCAGTAAGCTACACTGTTTGGACTTTTGTCCCCAAAGGTCCTGTGCTGTTTCTTGACACTTTGGACCACAGCTTGTTCCCTTGACTCAAACATTCAGGGAGCCTGATGAAATAATAACACTGCACCAGCACCTTTGTGTTTTGTATACAGTATTACTGGCGCTTGGAGCTTTATATAACTGCTCTGACATTGCACATATCAGAACACAAACAATGTACCGACTCAGCACAAGGGCTGTTTTTTTTTTTTCACCTCCTCTGCAGTGTAAGTAGATGTGATATTGTTCGAGGCGTGTTCCTCTGACCTTACTGCAGGGCATTCATTAGGTAAACAGCGGTTAAAATGTGAGAGCGCTCAGCAGAAAGAGAGAGCTATGGGCTCACATTTCATGAGAAGTAGC